TTGTCATTATACGTTTACGTTTTTAGCTGAGGCTTTGGAGTTCCAAAGTAATTAGGAAATAGCGATTCTATTTGAAGTGCAAAAAATATTTGTGTTGTGTTAGAGTGAAAGGTAAAGGCAAGGACAAAAATGTTAAGTAGAGAAAATGTTTATGGAGTATTTCACATGAAGCGGGCAACAGGAAAAAGTCAGGTTTTAAACTTCATTGATATTGGGCCTACATCTAGTAAATGTGTAAAATAAAACATATTTTTTGCCTGTGAGGTTATTTACTGTCATACGCTTCTAAGAAATAGCTTTAATTGAAATTGGACTGTTTTCTGTATATTTTCAAATTGAAGAATCTTACACTGAGATATTAAAGATAGCGTTTTATATAGAACAATTTTTGTTTAAAAAAATGAAATTTAAAAGAAATCAATATGCAAAACCGGATGTAAACATTTCAAAACTAAATTTTTGTAACTTCGACCTTAATTCTTTCTAATCTTTTTACTATTTATAAGGACGACAACACTTCTAACATTTTTTTTTCAAATAAATTATTCTTAACTTCGTATGATACATTAGCCAAAAAAGCTACTGGTAGAAAATTTACCTCATCGCAAATATAACCAAAACATAGCTAAATGAGGCTACAAATTGTATAAAATTCGACCAGGCTTATTCTTTTTAAGCATACTTCATTCCACGAGTTAAGCTATTTTCTACTATTTTTGAACGATAGATAGCTTAACACATACATAGGTTTTCGATAGGTGTACGTCAAAATAACAAATAAAGTAGTTCAATTTCCTCATTAAAAATATAATATTGAAAACATTAAATGGCAAATAAGCATAAATTCAAAAATCGTCTATACTCCAAGGACTCCAAGCTAGATTACTGCATATTAAATTCTCTTTCAGATAGTTCCTCGTTTTGAGGCGCTGCAATTAAAAACGTAAGTGCAACTATTCTTAATGCGGTACCAGCAATATGGCAATCCGACCAGTATCGTTCCATTCAAGCAGTTTGTCTAAATCCGATCCGATCCTGTTGGTATCAAAACCACCGAGATCCAAACCATCGAAAACGAAATCGAATACCGCCGGAGTCGAAATCGGAATAATCGGTGTAGGCATCAAAACCGCCGGAATCGATTCCTACTGCTGTATCGTTCCTTCGGAGCGATTCGTTTGAAACAAATCCAGCTCTAGTGTCTGTGTCTTAAATACCTTAGACTTAGAGTTTCCACTTCTTTTAGAATACGGTCAGTTTAGTAAGCCTAAGTTATATAACTATAACTTAAAGAAACATGAAATTTGATTGGAAATCAGGTTGAAAGGTCCTCCAATAAGTCCTTATCAATCTATGAACATATTGGATATCTGTTCGAAAAATATATTTTCTGTCGCAAAACTTTCTCTGAGATCTGTCTATTATTTCTTGTACTAACGTATTTTGATATTATATTTCATTTACATGAAAATATACGAAATATTGATTATAGCCTAGGACCTAAATGAACTGAAAACTTTGGTACAAATGCTACAATTAACAAATATACTCAAGTATATCTGTCTGCAATATCGTAATGGTTGGGAATTTAACCTACTATCATTTAATTTAAATATATAAAAATGCTAGATAATCGTCGCAAAATTTAAATCTATCACAAACTTTTTTTATTTAAAAAAGGTTTTAAAAATATTGTACTGCATTCAAAGTATTTGCACTAACTAAACCGATGTTAACAACGTTCAAGTACCTCAATAAGGTCGATTCTTGGCTCGATTATTGTTACATGCACTATTCTTTATTCTACTGTTAGCTTTGTTGATATTTTTTCCTCGTATCACAAATCATATTTTCTCAAAAATGTGGACAAAGCTAGTTTACCTAATACGACTATTTTTTGACTAAAATGTTAACTGTTTATTGAATGAAATGAAATCTATTTTCCAAACCTTTAGACAAAGGCTAAAAGCTATAGTTGTCTTTTTTAACCATATATACATATATTATCTTGGGTCTCGACCCATTGCCGATAAATGAAAGCACGGATGCTAAACAAGATAAATATGCCGGGTGTTTAAATTCGAGTCTCACCATTACGATCTCGGAAACGATAAGAGGTACGAATTCGGTTAAATTGGGGCAAAGTGCGCATTTATGAAATTGAGAAAATGGCAATTGAAAAGGTTCACAATTCCGACTGTTTCTGCAAATAGATGAAAGGATCCAATTTTTCCCAAAATTGTTTTTTATTTTTTCCTGACTTCCTTTGAGATGTAATTTCAAAATAAAAAAAATATTATTTTTACATTGCAACTGTTTGTCTTCTACAAGATGACATAGATAGAATTACAATTTGACGTTTCGTCTCTTGCCCTATATAACCACTGGCAGATTTAGAGGGGGCGCGCGCCCCCCCTAGGCCTCTGTCATTTGCTTTTGCAATCTAACACCATTGTGTTACTTTCTGTTACATCATTGTGACAGAGGCATACTAACTATAAGTTATAGCTATAGGACCTGAGCATTATGATTTTTTGGTATCCTTTGGTATTCCAAATGCTGTCCCTCTTTGACATCACTTGTTTACAGCACAACTCTTACGATTTATACGTATATACGAGTATTGTGACTTGTGACAAATCTAAGTCTGGGTAGTATATTACCTATACAGATTGCACTTAAAAAGTGATTTAAGTTCTGTTTGTTGCTCAATAGTAATTTGAAGAGTATGTAAAGCTTGACTGATTTTGTTCGGGGTTGGTGTTGCAGCGAAGCACTATGTTAGATGAACGCCTAAATTGTAAATAGACATTTATGAGATTTGTTTAGCGGTGCGCCTGTGGCCTGTCTAGAAACTGCGTCAATCGATGCTCAAAGTCAATACCACACGTCCCGCATCACTTCTCACGTGTCTATTTATGTTGTTATATTGAATTCGTTTAAATCACATAGCTGCTGCACTTCACGTGAATATGTACAGCCCTGTATTCCTGTACTTGTTTAGTACAAACATACATTATCAAAATAATTACGATCTAACAGATGCAGTTTTTTCCAAGGATTTCCTACATTTCAACCTGCGATCAACACCGGTTAGAAAACTTGAGAAAAAAAGATGCAAAAAGAAGGTGGTAGGCAAGGACCAGTCGACCGAGGCGGTACCACCTTATAGATTTTCCCAGGGTGTCTTATAAATGTTTCCACACTTAAGCTATTCAGTCGGCTATCTTCCAAAATAAAGAAATTAATGATGATGGATCCCTCGAGTACTAAGAATTCCGGATGTAAGCTCACTCACTCTCAGAATGTACGGGTGGAGGGTGGACACGAGGGAACAACATCGAAGATAAAATTTGTTTCACAAACCTCTGCGGGATTAACAGCAACATTGATGCTGTTCATCACTACTTGCAATCGAATCGTCCCGCCATGCTTTTCTTGGCGGAGACAGAAGTCCGCACCGATTAACCATCTTAGCTTATCAAATTACGAGGTGCACTACAATCTGAGAAAGAACGGGGGGAGCTGTGGTCTTTGTCCGCAGCAGTCTTTCCTGCTGCAGAGATTTTTCTCTGGAATCAGACCGGAAGGACATTATGTGGCTTCACCTAAACTCCAAAACATCCCCCAAATTTATTTGCTGCCTTTATCGCTCCCCTCAGACCATAACTGGTGTGAACTTCTTGAATACCTCGCCGTCAAGATCGACTTCCTGAACATCAATCACTCCGCATCAGAGGTAGTTCTCCTCGGTGATTTCAATGACTATAATTTGCTTTGGTTGGGCTCAAACAAGGCCGATGCAGCTGGTCGTGCAGTTAAAGCGTTCGCTCTTACTCAACGGCTGACCCAGCTGGTGACCAGCCCCAAATATCGCGAAATCCTAAATCCGCCCTTGTCTATAACCAAATTTATTTTTTATTATGAACGCCATATTGGATGTTTACTAGGTGAATAGAGTTTTTATTGTATAATTTATCATGCATTGACATTGCCAAACCGAAATTATTCCAACAAAGCTAATATTTTCATAGTTGGCCCAGAGAATGATAGTTTATCCGATGAAATCAAGAATGCCTCAGTTTTTGAAAATCTTGTTTAACGGGCATTCAGATAATTTACACATTAATCAACCCCCCCAACCCACCAACCAGGGGGGCGTGCCTCCCAAGGGGGGCGGAGATCGTTTGCATTTTAGAAAGAAAAAACAAAATAAATAAACAACATTAACAAATAACATTTCAATGTAATGTTTAATTTACACTGTTTCAAAACCCGGCCTCGTCAGTCGCAGTTTATACAAGTTTCGACAACATGAAATCCGCACGCACCCCCGCCGCGCTCCGCTTAACATTCATCACTTAGAAAATAATTGTGTACCTACCAGACGCGGATGAGCATTCATTCCCACAAACTTGCGAAACTTTTGACGTTTCGATGTAGGTACATGTTTTGTTGAGAAATCTGTTTGAGTGTGTCAAATTATTGTGCCTCATTGTTAAAAGCGAAGTTTGTGTATTTAAAAACTTTAGTTACCATTTTTATTTAATTTACTAAATTGTTGATTGAGTGGAGACGCGTGCATAGATCGGCCATTAGGACTTTTTTACCATATCACAATCAAACCAACGTGGCGAAATAATTTTGAAACGACGAACTTTAAGTACCTAATATTGATTCCAAATGTATTTAAAATTACTATTATAACGTCAACCTGCCTACAAAAATATAAATCTCCCGGTGGCCAATATACTGTTGAATACATTGCGTTATTAAGATGAAATAATGGGCATATAATTAGTAATCACATATAGGTATTTTGCTTATTTGGTTATTACTTATTTGTTTTATTGTTATAGGTTCAAAATGGCAGCGAAAAAAAGAAAGTTTTTCGAAGATTCCGTTAAGTTTGGATTTATCTTCATAGAAAAAGACGAGTAGTTACCATTGCCTCAGTGTGGGATATGTATGAAAGTTTTAAGTAATGTTAGCATGTTAGCATGAGGTCCAATCGCCTTGAAAGGCATTTGAAACAACAACATCCTACTCTGGTTTTGAAGACGAAAGAGTTCTTTTCTTCTAAAGCAGAATCACTCAAGCGGATGAGACTGGATAAATCGGGAAGTTATCACACAGGTGTATCGCAGCATCTCAAAGCTTCATTTAGGAGACTCCTGTGCAACGGCACAGAAGCCGAAACGGAACAAGAGAAGGAAAAATAAGTGTCACTTACATTTATTTCTTAACCAGCAATGGTTCAAAGAAAAGGATATGCAAAAGATTTTTTTAAAGACTTTAGACATATCACAAAATTTCGTGGATCAAACTGGGAGGTATTGTTAAAGGTGATTTAAGAAAAGGTCACATACCATAAAATAAAATACCAGATGAAATAAGGCAGGGTATACGAGACCACATAAATAAATTCCCATTCTATGAATCGCACTATAGTAGAGAGAAATCAACCCGAAAGTATTTAGAATGTGACTTGAATATAACCAGAATGTATCAGCTCTATTATGACGAAGCACTTGCATCAAATACTTTGCCTGAACATATTGGCAAGCTGTGGCTTTATCGCAATATATTTAACACATAATTTAGTTTGTCTTTTAAGATGCCCTCAAATGATAACTGCGGTAAGTGCGATTCTTTTACTATAAAATTAAAATATCACAGAAGGCTGCTGACAAAGAAAGTGCGAAAAATGCCAAAAACAAGAAAGTGGTCATGATTGATCTGGAAAAATGTTTGGCAACTCCTTTATTGAAAAAATCCTAGAGCTTTTTGATTCCCTCGAGCTGTGGACCTTCAATCTTACCATTCATGACTAAACAGTGAATAAAACATTTTGTATGATGTGGGATGAGACGGTGGCTGGACGAGGTGGGAACGAAGTTGCATCTGCAGTTTTAAAATGGTTAGAAGTTTCAAACTTGGATCCACAGATAGAAAAATTAACAATTTGGTCAGACAACTGCCCATCTCAGAATAGAGATCTGATGATGGTTATATGCTACTTCCACATTTTCAATATATGCCCCAATTTACGTATTGTAAATCATAAATATTTACTTAGGGGACACACGCACCTTGAGGCTGATACTGATCATACATTAATTGAGAAGCAAATCAAGAAAAGTCTCGCTTTTCAAATAGCCACCCCATGGGACTGGCAACAACTGGTCAGAATAACATCTCCAAAATTCACAGTTATTTACATGAGCCTTAAAGATTTTTTAAACCTGAAGAGCTTGTACAGTGACAAAAATTCAGCTTTCATCAGATGTAGAAAATCTGAAAGCGGCGATGTTTTACGTATTTCTGAAGCTGTGCATTTACAAGTAAAAAGAGACCAGCCTGGACATCTATTTTTCAAAACAAAATTTACTGAGGCTGAGTTCGAGGAGGTGAATTTTAATCGGAGACATAACCAGAATGCTTGTAATCTAATACTGCCACCCATAAGAAAGTGTCCAAAAGCTATCTCCACAAAAAAATATAAACATTTAATAAGCCTGCTTGAGTGGGTACCCTCAAGATTCTATCAGTTTTACAAAGACAGTGAAAATTACAGGGATGCAGATGAAGTTTAAGTTCAGTGTGAATATGTCACAAAGGTATAAGTACAATTAAGACCTATGATCTCATAATTTCTCGGAGTTAAGTCCATTATTTTTGTGTATTTTGTAAAAATCAATAAACTATTGCTTTGTATTTGTAAAAATCCTATTTTATTTGTCTACTATAACGCTGATAGTATATTTCCATTAGCCATATGGATGATATGATAGAATGAATGTCTTGCGATACTGGAAAATCGTGTTTTCGGACTTAACTCCTGTTCGCTCTCAGGGACAGATCTGAAGATATATTTAATTCAATATCAAATTTTGTTGAAAAAAATGATTTGTATTCGAAGAAACTCATTGGACTTTGCACAGATGGCGCACCTGCAATGATAGGTGTACGATCGGGCTTAGCTAAAAAGCTCAAGGAAAAAAATCCCGCAATGGTTAGTACACATTGTGTTATTCATCGACAAGCTTTGGCTTCCAAAACATTGCCACAGAAGTTACGCCAGACTTTGGACTCGGCTATAAGGATTATAAACTACATCAAGAGCAGCGCTTTGAACAGTCGATTATTTACTTTACTTTGCGACGATCTCAGTTCTTCTATTCCATACAGAAGTACGCTGGCTGATCAAAGGCAACATGTTGGCTCGCTTTTATCAAATGAAAGAAGAGGTAATTCTTTTTCTTGAGTTCAAAGAAAAACAAGATTTCTTGACAATGTTCAAAGATGACACGTTTCAATGGAGGTTGGCTTATTTAACTGAAATATTTGACTCCTTGAATGAGTTAAACTTGAAACTTCAGGGCAGAAACAACACTATAATAAGCAATTATGATTATATTCAGGGGTTGATATCAAAGCTTCAGCTTTGGAATCAAAAAGTGTCTTCTGAAATTGTGATATCTTTTTCTCGGCTCTTCGAAGTAATTAAAAATAACATACTGGACGCAAATTTAAAAGCTGACATAAAAACTCATTTGCAAGCGCTGGAAGACGAATTTCGCCAATACTATCCAGATATCAAATCAGAGTCAACAATATGGCACATGACAAGAAATCCATTTGTTGTCGATGTGTCACAATTACCAGAAGTTCAGGAAGAATTTCTAGAAATGAAGGTTGATCCGTCCATAAAAGATGCCTTCCATCTTTTAACATTGGAGAAATTTTGGATCAAAAGATTGCCTGTTAATTCGACACTTGCCTCTCTTGCTTTACAAAAACTAGTTACTTTTTCTTCAACTTACTTATGTGAGACAGGCTGTTCTGCTCTAGTTTCAATTAAAACTAAACAGCGAAATCGTCTTGATGTCGATAGCGACCTGATGATAGCTCTGGCAAAAACAGAACCTAGAATCAACCAACTGGTACAGAACATGCAATCTCAAGTGTCTCAATCTCAATTTATAGTCCGGGGAGCCTCAACAAAAAAAAAAGGTTGGGAAACCCTGGTTTAGATATAGCGGACGTAAAATTTGTTCAGTTTGAAACTGAAACATTGTCGATGATTTTAGTTACTCTACAGTGTTTTTATCAGTACCGTAAAACGAGGTTACTTTGCACCTTGGAGGGTAACTTTGCACCCAAGATGGAAAAAGACTAAAACCCATCTAGTGGAGGAACCACGCATGCTTTGTAAATAATTTTTGTATTTTCCGATATGTGGCACCACCTGTATGAAATTAAGTATTTTATCCGACATGTTGATCTTCGTTTGGTAACATTTGGTACACGTGTCATACTTCTTTGCAAAGTGTTCTTCATGAAAAGTGGTATTTTTCGCAACAGATGCTGGTTTATTGCAAGGTAAGAGTAGTATATTTACATTGAAACACCATAAATTTTTCCAACTACACCAGTTAAACGTCAATTACTTTGATATTTATCGTTTTACCATCCATTTAGGTTTTTAGGTTACTTTTGGTTTGTTAGTTTAGTGAAATAAGTTGATCATTTATATTGTATGATTTGCTTTTCTATATGCCTTTTATGTCCATAAAGTAATATTGCTTAGTGTTGTTACAGGATGGTGCGAATCTACAAGCGAAAGTTAGGATCTCGTCACTATGCAGATTACACTAAAGAAAAACTCGACGAGAAATGGAAGCTATCAGCTAAATGGGACCTTTACTCAACGAAAAGCTGCATTACATTTCAAAATACCAAGGAAAACAATAAATTATAAACTTAAGCAGATACATACCAAGTTACCGGGTAAGCAGCCAGTGTTCTGCAGAGAGGAAGAGGAAACTTTTGTTTCTTATATAGAAGCTATGAGTGACTACGGTTTTCCTCTTACTCATCAAGACCTCATTGCTGTCATTACCTCGTACTTAAGTAAAATTGACAGGTCAGTCAAGCAGTTCTCAAATACTGTTCTTGGGAGAGACTGGATCAAATCATTCTTATTGCGTTATCCCAGGCTTAAAGAACGTTTCGCTTCGAATATTAAACGTAGCAGAGCTGCTGTTGATGAGAAAACTGTGCGCGACTACATTACTAACTTGGCAGATGTGAAGGACGTACCTGCTGAAAACATATGGAACTTGGATGAAACTGGCGGGAAAAAAGTGGTCATAGCTGACAATTTGTCAACTCACCTCAATGTAGCTATTTTTAAGAAGTGTAAAGGAAGTTGATATTCATTTCATCTGCTTGCCGCCTTACAGTACTCATCTCACGCAACCGTTGGACGTTACATTTTTTCGCCCGATGAAAGTGGCGCGGAGAAAAGTTTTAATTCAGTGGAAAGCAACTTCTGAGGGCATGAACTGTACTGTATTACCACAATAGTGCTTTCCGTCTTTACTTAAGCATGTGCTTGATATCCTAGAGCCAAACTTCAAGAAAAATCTGGAACAACAACTACAACCATTACTCGACAGAATAGCCCATAAACAGGTAGATCCTTCAGCTGTCTGTTCCGCCTTCTTGGATGTCTTACAGTCCACTCGAGATGCATGTAGTATGAAGCCGAAAATTACGAGAAAGAAGAAAATTTCTTTGCCAGCGGGAAAAAGTCTGTCCCATGATGAATTTCTGTTAAACGGGTCAACTGGGCACGACAATCAACCACAGCCTACTGAAGACAAACAAAAATCTGACAAGGAAAACACACAACCGGGCTCCAGTGGTACGAGACCAAGAATGCTCAAAACCTCAAAGAAAACAGAAAAACACAGATCTCATCATGATGCTGAGGATGATGAGTCAGAAGATGATACAGAGCCTATTCTGCAGGATACCTCAGATGATGATGACTGGGAGACATATAGAAAAAAACTAAGGAAGGGGTAAATGAAAGTGCACAGCCTGAAGTTGAGATTCCTTTTTGGGCACAACTGAAACCCATCGCAAAGCAGATTGATTCGTTTGTAGTCGTCCAGTATGATAACAAATACTACCCAGGCATCATTGAACAATTGGATGAGAATGGAGCATACGTGAGTGCCATCGTTAAGTCACTCAAGAATTGGAAGTGGCCTGCAAATAAAGATGTGCTCTTCTATACATGGGATATTTTTGGCAACATAAATCCCCCAAAAATGTTATGCAAAAGAGCAATTTTCTCAGTGGAAGAGTTAAATAGCAATACCTAGCAACATAGATATACTGCCGTAATATAGACATTAACTTTTTCTTTTGTTTCTTATTCATCCTAGGTGACATTTTTCTTTTTTCATTTCCAATTCTATGCATATAAAATACAACTTCTTTACCATATTTGTGTTGATCTTATTTTTCATCTTTCAGGTGAAAAAAATATTTTTTTCCAGCTTCTCATGGTTGTAGAAGGTGCCACAATGATTTTAAATGATAATATCTTTGCACCAACCTATTTTCTTGTATGTAACAGGATAATTTTTGAGCTGGTGCAAAATAACCCGCCTGTTTGGTATACTATGCACCACTTTTCAAAAATCAGTAAAATATCGAATATAGCTAATAAGAATATTTTATTTGCATCTATCTGTGCCCTGAACTGATATGAATACATTAAAACCATTCTTGAAAATAATTTCACAAAATCTTCGCTTACTAAATAATTATATCAAAAAAACTCCTTAACGTGGTACAAACTAGCCCCGTTTTACGGTATCATAAAATAATATTGTTAAACAATATAAAAGGTTTTTCCATCAAGTTGTTCTTTATTCGATGAGTTAATACCAATTATAAGAAGAGCACTCCTTTAGACATTTGAAGTTTCATACCAATCCATGTCATAATATGTACAATATCTCATCATTAAAATCGGGAATATGCCTAGTTCATCAAAACTGGAGGAGCGCTTGGCTGATGATATCATGAAACAAATGACCATCATCTGATAATTTCAAGGCCTACTTAGAAAATTCTGTTTTTTAAATAATTGAGGTTTGGCAATGGTACTGTATGGCACATTATATATTTTTGGAATCAGAATTAAAAATTCTATTCACCTATGTAAAAATAAAATATGGTGTCTATAACAAAAAATAACGTTGATGACTGAGAACAAGAGACAGAACGTCATGTTGCCATCCTATAAGAGGAGAAAAATTGGCAAGGTTAATGTACATTTTATGTTGACCTCCTGTCTCAAATAAGGTCATGAAAAATAAAATCGATTTTGGGAATATTCAGATCATTCGTGTATCTCCGGGAATACTCGGAATAGCAAAAGTTTCTAAGTTTCATTTTCGAAATGCGCAACTTTTCCACCCTCAATCGACTACGTATCAGTCACCGTTTCCGAGATCCCAATGGTGAGAGTCGAATTTAAAACACGGTATATTAACTTTTTAGCTAGTGCGGTGCGACTACCTTTTTCGAAGTACAGGTTGAAACAAGATGATTCTCGTTTTTCAATTACCAGTTTGATAATTTGGTGATGCGTCACCATTTGAACAAAGAATCTTATTCCTTTGTGACCTATAAAAATAATTTATTTGTTGAAAAAATATCACCAAAGGAAACTTGCTCATGCCTAATGTTATAAAATTACAAAGTACATCATAGGTTCAACGCCGACAACGCGTAGATGTGAACGATGAATCGTACGACCTGCTGAAGGTACTTGCTAGTAAGTGTAGGAAATCTACTACGACTAGAAAAGTCTCGTTGGTTATCTAAACGATAATAACGATGACGACGACGAAAGTCTGCGGACACGTTATATCATACCACCCTGTAAGGATCTGCGCTTTTCGAAGAACACGGTTGGACGTCGTCTAGGTAGTGATGTGGCTCCTGCCTCGATGTCGACGCTACTGGCACGCTAAAACAACGAAGGTATTGTATTTTTCATTTTTTAAAAATATCATCTTGAAGCTATAGAGACAACGTAATTAAAACACTGGAAAATTGCTAACCAATAATGCAAAAAGACAAAAAACCTCCGCAAGCAAATCAGCTAGGCTTTAAAATAATAGTGTAGATGTACTATCAGCCTGAAGTGAATATAACCCAGTTATAAAATAATAATAACCTAAAATATCATCTCTCTATAGAAATAACCATGGTATAACCCTATTTACGAGTATCTATTACGTTTTGACGTCTACTGCTGGTCAACTAGTGACATATTTGTATTAGTTTGTAACGTTGTGAATAATAAATCGGGTGTAAATCTAGTAAAACTTGCTTGATTTTTTTTATATATAAATGAAGTTTTTTAAATAAAAGAGTCATTAGCAATACAAAATGAATCTCTAGTGTACAAAAAAAAGGTATTTTGTTTTGTTTTATTTCTAGATTTTAAATTTAGTAAACAAAACTTCATTACCCTGTATCTCGGTAGGGAGCATCTATGGACTTTTTCGTTATATTTGGATGTACTTTTTACCCTAGAATATTGGCACGTCTCTTTTAAATACCCTGTATATGTTTTATGAGCTTCACATGTCGTGGCCATATCACAGCTTAGATAACAATCAGCTATGAAACTCTCCTGTCAGTGTCAAAAACGGCCGCCCTTTATCCAGAGAAAATCGCATGTAAATTCCTCTAGTACAACGATGAAACAGGTTTTAGTGCTCAACAGCAGCCAGTGTTGCCAAAAGTACCCTGCCAGCGGCCGCAGATATTCTTTGCAATTATAATATTCCGATAAGATATAGTACAGTTTGTGTGAACCATTAATAAAAGGGGATATGTTTGTCCAAAAAGTAGCGGCAAAGTATTGATGACTATTTGTTTATGAAAAAGCTTTAAAATAAATATGTATTTGTGGAAATATTTACTATAAACTGATTATATTTACTTTTGCAATGCTTTTTAGAAAAATGCCCGTGTCTTTGTCGCAAAAAAACGAGAACAAACCGCCGGCAATGTGACAACCAACATAATCAAAATTGACACTTCTAACAAAACCTCAGCTAGGATGCTTCTGGATATAGGGCGAAATTTTAATGTATAAGCAGTCGATAGTTCCGATATTCATAATTACATGATAATATACATTTTTTTAAATGGATTATCATTTATTTATTCTTCGCCCATTCTACACAAAAGCTATACACATACCATAAATCGGAGCTTATGGGACAAACATACTGCTTTTTATTATTGATTCACAAAACCTACACTAGATCATATCGAAATATCATTTTACGATTGCAAAGAAGGTCTGCGACCGATGGCATGAGTCGTGGCAACACCTGCTCCTGCTGAACATTAAAGCCTCTTTCATCGTTGTACTAGACGAATTTACATACGATTTTCTCCGCCGAAGTGGCGGCCATTTTTGACACTGACAGGAGAGTTTCATAGCTGATTGTTATCTAAGCTGTGGCCATATCACAGCTTTGATAGCAATCAGTTATGGAACTCTCCTGTCACTGGCAAAAACGGCAGCCATTTCGGCGGAGAATGTCGAATGTACCAGTAAATTCCCCCAGGTCAACGATGAAAGAGGTTCTAGTGCTCAGCAGTAGCCGGTGTTGCCACGTACCCTGCCAACGGCCGCAGATATTATTTGCAATCGTAAAATGATTATATAGTCCAGTTAAATAGCCGAGACTGCCGCAAAAGTGATAACATAGCTATATGCTAAATTGCTTAGTTTTTTTTTCTGCTACAGCTTGGGTGAGGGGCTTGCGGGGACAAGGGCGCGCGTACACATATCACCAGCCGCCGCACCGTTGACGCGGACGATCCTCTTTTAATATTTCAGTGTTTCACTCTCAGTGATATGCCGGTCGATTTCGAATAAAAAGCTCGTTTGTAGTTGTGGCGTTCACCGACGTATGCATACGAGTATTAATGATTTTTTGAAATTTATGCGTATGAATACAAGATGCAGTAATTTCTCTTCAGCCGCTTACCGATTGACTGGATAAGATTTTATTTAGAACTGGAACAAGGACAAAAAACCTAGAACTGCAAAGAATCTGTGACCGTGTATATAAATGAGTGGCAGTAAGAATACATTACAGGATGTAGAAGCCCAATGAGTCATCAAAAGACTCGTTTTCGAGGCTCCACGTTATTTTCATAATCATCCTCGCAAATCAGTTTAATCACCGGTAGTACTTGATCTACGACCATGATAAGAGATTTAACAGTTCTTGAGCCGCGTCTATACGTTGGGCTAACAGACGCCAACGCAAATATGTAAAGAATAGACAATGGCCGATGATGAATTTGACGATGTCTACTCTGCACACTCTCTGTGGCAACCAATAATAATGCTCATTGGTCTAGTCCTAGTCTCAATTTATCGGTGTACGTTAGCTTGACGTGGAGACACGGCAGTATGCTCTGCTGTACAACTTATCTTTTTTGTGCAGCTCAGGGATTTTTTGCGTTTCCAATTATTGACAATGGAAGGACTATAAGTATGTGTGTGGACACGCCAAATTAACAGTACATAATATTTATATATTTTGGTTTAATGATATTTATCTCTTCAATTCTATTACAGTATCCTCGTGTAAGATACCCATTTATGCGTGAAATTTCTCAATAGGCCTTGTTGGACATTGCTGATCTTATTTACGGCAAGACACCCGTATGTCGAGTGACACTATCGCCCCATAAAAATCGCATGCAAAAATGGGCCCTAGTTGATGTGATATATACTCACATAGGCTTGTAGTTGTGCGTTGTTTGATTGACCTTGTGATCTGGAGAGTTCCTCATCGGCGAGGTCTGTCGCTCGTGTAAGTGGAAGCTAAGGTCCTCCTCCACAGGTTCGTACTGGCCGATACGGCACTTTTGGATTAAGCAGATTACCGCTGACTCTAGGCAGCACACGTATCCCAGGCACTGAACACAACAAACACTGATAAAGGAATAGCCAAAGCTGTACCTCCACTACCAAGTAATTATTTTTATTTGCATATATTTAAAAAGCTGATAATTTTGTTAACTCAGATCTTTCTTACAAAATATGTGATGTTGGTTTAAATTCGACGAAGATATCACATGGACAATGTTTAATCTTTTCATAAGACTTTTAACACGAAATTTAGCTAAAATCTCGAATTCCAACGTCATATATCTCCTAATTTGGTGAATTAACATAATACCTGGTTAATATTGGCTATACATATCAAATACAGACGAACCCGATCCAGAGGACATAAGATGATTGCAAAGTGTTTTCAGCTTCGGGAGGGTTCAAGGGGTACTTAATAAATGTAATAATAAAGCATAGGTTCTCCAAGTCAATTTGTTGACTTACCCCAGTAACTAATAGTTGATGATGTGTCCATCTGGGGACCCAAGTAAAGGCCTCTGATATAAATATCATATGAAAGATCAACGAGGAAGCTACCAGGAACAACACACTAAGGCTTACATAAAAATAAGCGTTCTGTAAAAAAGAAAAACATATTTTTAAATATTATTCAAGACATACCAGACTTGTTTTTCCGATATCAATATTATTTGAGTCAAATCCCTCCTGGTAGGGAGCATTCATTCGATCTGATTTTCATCAGTCATGAACATACATGAAGGACACAGTTTTTACAGACAAGGCTTGCTCATACAGAGGATTAATTTAAAATTAATCAGATGTTTACTTACCACTTTGCCCCAGTTAAATGGAAACAAGTAAACTATGTGGGATATATCAAGAAACAGTAAAAGGCATGTTACGAACATACTAATTAAGGTGACGAACAACATCAATCTTATTCTTCCCACAAGAGGAAGCATGAAAAGTCCCAGCTTCACTGTTCCAGACGTGCAGAGGCATGCTAAACAAGCTACCGTCGTAACCTGAAATTAATGGTTTATGCAATAATTATTCTTCACCTTTATCGGTGGTCAAACAACTATCATCCAGTTCTTTCAAAAAAAAAATTCTCACTACCACGGACATTCAAATACAGTCGCCTAAGCAAGTTAATGGTATGATGTTGCTTAGCTTGCCTAGTTGCTGGTCTACTGTAAATGATCATTTGGGACTATCTCAAATTCATTGTTGGATTATGTGATAATATACAATTTTACATCAATTCGGGTAACGATAAAATTCCCTAGACATCGCGGATGTGATATATTTTACGAATTTTAGAATTTGTTTAAAAAAATGCGTCCACTGATATCCGCCAGATCGACAGCACGCACCGAACAACCGGCAATCTGAATATGATATCGAAGAGGAGCAAGTTTCCCAACGCGTCCCAAACGTCATATGAACAATTTCGAGGGGTCAGCCGCAGGGGGGATTTGTTGTACGCACAATAGGATTTTTTAAGCATTACAGGGAATTAAGAAGAACTACGGTGAATTACCGGGAATTACGGTGAATGATGAGGAATTACGTTGGGTTCTGCGGAATTACGGTGAATTATGTGGGGCATTGAAGAATTTTTCACAAATTACTCAAAATAAGCTGTAATTTGAGCAAAATGTATCACATGTCTGTTTATATAGGTGTTAAAGGCGCTATACGTATAGGGGATTCAAACTAGCCCAGAAATATTACTCTTCCCGCGAAAAAATGCAACCTGCAATTTGGTGTTTCAAGACAAGCAAAGTAAAGTTTCACCTAGATGATTTATAGAAATTGTAAAACGATGTTAAAGTATTGAATATATCAATAATTTAGTTGAGACAACAGCCTTTTACATATATTGAGTATACATATTGAAGGTGTGCTAATTTTCAGGGTTTTAACTTCAGGATAATTTGAGAAGTTAAAGTTCCGTGAGCGCCCTTTTTTTGTAAAACATTTTGCACTTGAAACAGTAATAAATGGCATTAGTTTTAGTTGTCTCAAAGAGGCGGACAAAAAGCAGTAGATATATTCTGGGAAAAGATATTTGTAAGCATGTCAATAAAACGAAAACACCCTTAGACCAAAAAATACATCATCGCGCTCCTACTGACCAGCCCGTCATAAACTCTTGTGCACACTGCCACAGGTGAATAGAAGTGGCAATCAACTACTTGTGCTTGTTTGAATGCAGCATAAATGAGGTTTACAGAGTAAAAAGCATAAACTAGACATATAAAGTAAGTTTTATTATACAAGCAGTCGCTGAAAGGATTAATTCACTTCAATATCCCTTAATACTTATATAATTTAGAGGATTTTGTGGAATTGCAGGGAAATATAGGGGAATTATAGTGAATTACAATGAATTTTGTGAGAATTTGCTGAATCTAGAGGAATTATTGGGAATTAAAAACACAGGCGCACAAATTAAAAAAGTGTGTGCTTGGGCTCCGAGTATGTTTTTCCTATGTAATGTTTCACGCTGAGCACGAATCTGAAGTCACAATTTGGGATCGGTGGACAAATTTTAGAGAAAACACACAAAAAAGATCCACAGGTCCACAAAAAAATAGAAAGTATGTACAGGTAGTCTCAATATATTTTTCCATGTATTTTTCCTGCTGAACCTGAATCTGAAATCACAATTGGGGGAAGTAATTTAGATATCAGAATTGAAAATCCAGGCATTAAGGTTACACATTTTGGCACTTACCAAAATTTTTATTTCTAATTTTGACTTCAGCTTCGTGTTTAGCGTGAAAAAATACATGGGAAAAATATAGTCGGACGATGGCGTGGAATTTTGAGGAAATTACTGACTGCTGACAGCGGTTGCGCTCTCGCATAATTCTCAATGTATTATTGGTCGTTAAAGAATCCACATCTCCACATGTATGTATCTCTTCCAAATTATAGTCCATTTATTTTTTCTGCTACTAAACAGCGTGTTGTGACAAGAGTCTGAACGGCCGTGTATCATGCCGGGATCGCGAGAAGACATCATTACGATTTTAAAATGGCACGGCTCAAACCCAGCAAAATTCAGAACTGCCTGGAATAGTCATTCCGGCTCCCAAAGACATTCAGCCTCTTCAGAGCGACAAGCGAGCATGAGGTTATCTGTTAATTTGGGTGAAGCAAGACATGCCACCCTCGCTCATCGCTCCGAACATGCCAAACGACTTCGAGACGGGGAAACCCAGACACAAAATGCGCAGTTGTTTTGCTTCGCCACTTTGAAGCCAAATTGTTGCGTCTCATTATTTTCTCTCAAGGCCAGCATGGTAGCCTTGACGTGTCAATGTACTATTTCTCGAAATTCGGATTCATAAACAATGCAGATGCAACATTAGTAGTCGAAGATTGCATAACAGTCAAAAGGTGTATTGCGACAACAGTTCTGGGTTTTCGCGTTCTCGACGTCATCGTTTGACGTTTTCGTAGCGATAAGCGAGGGTAACGTATACCCTATTTCACGAGTAGCCATCAGCTAATCAGCAAGTGACATTTTTGACTTAATCTGCGACGTTGGCAATAATGAATCTGGTGTAAATATAGTAAAACTTGTTTGTAGCGTTTTGTTTTTTGTATGCAAATGAGCTTTTCTAAATGAAATAACTGTTAGCAAGCACAAAATGAATCTGTAGCGTACAAAAAACTGAAACAAAATACGGTACTGACTAACTGACGTTGAAGGATCCGTCAGAATTATGTGTCCGCCGATATGGGGAATTTTGAGATATTACTAGATAATCTGCTGTCATTCATTATTATTATTCTACCGTGATGGATTCTCGTGAAATAGGGTATATCTGGTATACCAAAAACAACAGATAACCTCAAGCTAGCTCGCTTGTCACTTTGGAGGGACTGGATGTCCTTTGGAGCGAGAATGCGTAGTGCGTACCCCAAGCAGTCGTGGGCTTTGCTGGGTTTGCGCAGTGCCATTTCAAAATTGTAATGATTGCTTCTTGTGATCTCGGCATGGTTCGGGACCGCAACACACTGTATATTAAATATACTGTCATATTTAATTTTTTAATATGTACTGCGCAAAAGGCCATCGACCCAGACAGCATAAGTACAGTCTGCATAAATCAAAAGTTCGCCAATTTTGGCCTAACAAACTAGATTAAAAATAGCTCTAAAATAAATTAATCTTGAAATACCCTCCGGGGTCTTGTAGAAGAAGCTTTAATTTAGATACTTGGCAACCTCAAAAATAATAATTTTTAACCAAGTTTTTAAGCATTCATTGAAAATGACCATTTTTAGGGTTTTCAGACATTAAATGGCTTATAGCTCGGAAACGACTAACTTTAGAGAAAAGTTACTGAGAGCCTTTCTTGTTCAGAATGATCTGAGGTATCAGAAAAAATGGTCTTAGCTTAGCTTAAGAAATTTCTGATTCAGAACTGCAAAAAATACATACCAGTAGCATCAGCCGAAAGGCCCCCGTGGGCGTCTTGAGATGTGAGTGGTCACAGTAGACAACAACGCCCTCGTAGAGCGAAAGGTCTGGAGAGGGGGCGTTGCGGCGATAGTGCGAATGGGAATCCCAGGAGTTGACGGTACCGAGGGGCGACTCACATTCGGCGCAGCCTCCTGTCCCCTGGGCGCAATCGCCGCCCGCACCACCACCGCCGTTCGGAGTGGCCCCCAGACCGCTGCCGTCGCCGAGGAGACCCTCCCCGGCGACGGACGCGCCTGTCCTGCTGCCCGCTATCTCGAAATCCTGCAGGCAATGTCGCCAAAGTAAGATATGGAAAAATCCAAACGCTACTTGCATCACAGTTTTACAGATCTAATATATTTTAATAATTACGCTGCGACTTATTGATACTAAAACCCACACGATGTGATTTCATCTGGTACCGCTAATACTAATATCAGTTCATTTTTAACACTGATTTAATATTGACTAACTATTCAGGATTTTACTACCCTGTAAGATTGAGTAACATATTCCACATGCTATATACCTATAGGTATCCTGAAAACCAATTGGCAACTGTGATAAACTCGAATGTCAATGGTTAATGCCATTGGTTAACGTATTCTACATGAAGACAGCCAACCTCATATTCTCATATAGTTAGTAACGGCGCCATTTATACGACACTAACATTTAGTAAAATTCTAGCTCTGGCAGATAGGGGAAACAATATAGCTGTGGCAAATTGTCATAGATGACACCAAACACGAAAAGGTATATTCACATTCTTGGAATGTATGTTTTACATCCTAACAAGAATATCCTAATAAAGCATGTTCTCAGCACATTGTTCATATCCCTTAGAAGCATATTCTCCTGGCGAACTTTCTAAGAATATGCGATTTAAAAAGATTCGGAACGGAAATGTTCGTAGCATATCCACATACTATTTTTTCACGAGTATACATTACGGTAGAATTCCAGCTGATTATGTAGTAATATTTCAAAATTCCCCATATCGACACATGACACATAATTCTGACAGATCCGTCAACTCCAGGTAGACAGAGCCATATTTTTTTTTTGTAGCTACAGGTTCGTTTTGTACTTGCCAACAACTCTTTTATTTAGAATAGATCATTTGCATACAAAAGAAAACGCTTCAAGCAAGTTTTACTAGATTTACACCCGGTTCTTTATTGCCAACGTTACAAACTAATAAAACATGTCACTAGCTGATCAGCTGTGTTCATCTCAGTAGACGTCAATACGTGAAGGATACTCGTGAAATAGCGTTTAAGGGATATCCATAGTTATATTCCTGGCACATGTTAAGCACATTCCATCAGAATTGATCAGGTGAATTTTACGGACTAACGCTCTTGCGCGTGTGACCAAGCGACCAATGGCATACTGGTAAGCCGATTCGCTTACCGGCTTCCATTTTGTTTTATTCCATGTCAGTGCGTATCTAACACAGAGTGCATCATGCGTGTCTCCAAGTAGTACATTGCTTAACACTATTTTTTGATATGGGAAATGTGAGCTTTCTTGATAATTATTGAGGTCAATTTATCTAATGAATTATTCCGTCAATTGAGTAAGGTGTTCACAAGACCATAACCATAAAAAACATCGCATAATATGAAGTTTAACTTGTAGTGGGAAGAAATTGGAGAGGCACAGGAAGTATATAAATAGAACAAGAAAAACAAGAATAAACTTTTAGAATGCTTAGAAGGGCACATTGACTTTACAAGAATATGCATACATATGATATACATATTTAACTATGAATACATAGTTAATTTGCTTTGTTAGGTTTTCAATTATCCTAATTCGTTTTTAAATTTGACTTGATATCTCATTTAATCACGAATAATTTTGTAGTCGCTGGAATATAATATCAAGCTATCTTAACGAAGAATACGTTAAGTGGAAACTCCATGCAGCCTATATCACGAGTATCCATTACGTTTTGACGTGAACAGCAGACCAGCAAGTCACAACTTTGTATTATTCTGTAACGTTGGCATTAATGAACCGGTTGTAAATCTGCTTGTAGAGCTTTTTTATGCAAAGAAACTAAATTGAAGAGTTATTAACAAGTACAAAACCTACCTGGCGTTGACTGATCCGTCAGAATTGTGTGTCACTTGTCAATATGGGGAATTTTGAAATGTTACTAGATAATCAGCTGTTATTTTACTGTAATGGAAACTCGTGAAAAAGTCGGTACGACTGCCGACGCTGGTTGGTCAAGCAAGTAATTTGAGGTTTGTGAAAATTTTAATTTCCAGGTTATCTTTCTCCTTTATTACTAAACTAAATTGTATGTCCCTGAAAGTTAAATAGCTGAGAGATGACATACATGTTTTGAAAATAACTTCTTTCAGCGGGTGCTCTCCACTTGATGAAAACAGAAGTCATTCTCAAAACCTGGCTTCCAATCCATAGCTATTTAACTTATAGGGCTCTGTGCGGAATACCGATCCGTTCAAGCGAGTGTGGTTATCAGTTCGGTTATAAGATCCGTGACGTCATGAATCAGCCGTTATATGTCATAGTTATCACCGCAAAATTGTGGTATTTACCCAACTCAGGAGTAGTTTTATATTTCTGGTTATTACTTGACATGTGACAAGTTAGAATTTTTCCGGGGTATTGGATATTTTTATTGTACTTCAGCTTCATTTTTGGGAAACTTGATTCAGGCTGACTTCACTTTTTGCATAAAGTAGAGCACCTTATTAGTTATAATCATTACTGTTGTTGGGGAAATTTTAAATCTAGTTCCTATGTTTAACAAAGTATCCTGTGTAGCCATATATCACAAGAATATTAAAATATGGCCATATAAACTCACTGGATGATGTCCACCTGTATGCGGTTCTGCTAATATCTTTTTTTCATCGCTTTTTCCTACCATTTCTGCTAAATCAATAAATGTTTTCTTTGACATGCGGAAAAGTTTAGAGAATTGAAAGTTATCATAGCTACAAAGCCATGGCTCCATCATTAAACATTTTTTTCTGAAAAAAAAAGATTTCTCCCATTAATATTATGAAAGGTTTCTTTTTTAAACTTTCCATACACCGTTATAGACTAAAAAGCACCGATTATTGACTGATAATAAAAATAATCAGAAGTTATATACGAGCTTCTCTAAAATAAACAACTTGCAACAAAACCGCGGTTAAAACCAACGCGTTCAAGCGATTCGAGTAACTGACGTCATCAACCCGTGTGTCATCTTGAACCATACTATAACCGCGATACATAACAGAGAAATGTTGGTTATTCGCTTGGATTTGATTGTAGTATACTTGAAACTTTTTTTTTTCTAACGTCAAATTGCTTATTTGACCAATCAGCGGCATCAGTCTAAGCTATACATCTTCCCCTTAAACGATGTCATTTTGTAGGAGGCTTGACACGTGTGCTTCAGCTATGATAAGTTTCTTGTCGAAGTTTTGTAGCAATAGAGTTTGATGCCACCCTCTACTTGGCGTAATAGTTTAAAAAATATTCAGATTATGCATAAATATAGAGTTAAATATTTATATTTTTCTTCTACAAACTTTACCTCAAGTTCTGGGCCCCAAAACTTTGATGTAATAGGTTACAGCGTCTGCAGAATGAATAGTTTAACATGAAATGTAGAGTCGCGTTCTGCCGTTATCCGGAATAAAAATCAATCCTTAGGACATGGGCATAGTGGAACAGTTCATCACGCCAACCATCTTGCCTGTCACCCTCCACGCTTTACTCACACTCGCCTGCATAATTCATAGGTATAGACTGAAAACCAAATTTGTCTGACGGCTTGAGTTCAATGTGTACGAAAGAGAAGTGTGTATAGACACATATTTTAAAAAGAGATAGCAAGCCGGCTGGATAGCGAAGGTCATTACCGCGTTGCTAATACGTTACTCCAGTTCCTTGAATTAAGATGCACGTTTATAACTAATTAATAGTCATCTTGTTTTTGGAAATCGAGTGTAATATGGGATCAGCGACGTAAATTGCGTCATAAAAGATATGCTCTACTCTAGATAGATATTAGTGCAGTGGCAAGGGGCCTGACAAGGTGAACTGCTCCACTATGCCCATGCCTTTAGTTCTCTTTCAAACCAAGTTGATCATGTACAATACTGTGCCAGACTTCAGCTTACTTATTAAATCTTGTGACCTTACCGTTATTTAAAGCAAGCATATTAAATATTTGGATGTTTATTTTAATGAAACTCTTAACTCAAATCAAGTACATATTATTTCTCGTAAACTAATGACACATTGTTCTAAATTATTACAGTTAAAATTATAGTAGGCACTGACGTTTTGTTAATACGAGTATATTACTGCCTGTGTACATTCTGTACTCAACTTCTGTATCATCCGTTGGGGAAACGAATTGAAATATTTTTAGCCCAAAAGAGATCTTAAAAACAATGTTCAGAAAAAATAAGATATATTTAAGAACTAGCATGTCCGTTTTTCCCTTTATATTTACAATGGTTTTGACAAACAACATCATGTACAATTTGCGTCCAAACCTGAAGTTGCAACTCAACTTTTCACCATGAACAAATACATTGTTTATAGATATTCCTGTAATTTTATAAAAAAGATTAATCAAAGGCACTATTTTGCAAGATACTCGGGCAAAAGTGCTACTAGTCGGCCGGATACTTTCCAATTGTCGGACAGCATTTGATTGGCAAGTTTTAAAAACATTTATATTTAAAAAGTTATGATAGTATAATAGACATTTCAAATCAGTTTTCATTAGGACTTTGACAAAAAAGAGTTAAACACACTTATACTGAAATAGATAGTTTCATCAGAAATACGTAAAACTATATACTGTCAACTTTGAACTACCATACTCTTTACATATTTCAAGCAATTTCCCATTACTACTCACAGCTTCAACTGTCTCATTTGACCTGCCTTCACTATATACGCGACATTTATTTTTTTCTTGGTAACCATTCTCAAATGAAGCGAAAATGTGAAATTTTATTTCAGTCTCGTAAAAAAATGGCGGGAAATGGAAGCGGCCGTGAGATGCTATGAAAATTCGTTCATTCCAGTAGTCAGACAATTTCATTGGTCAAAATCTACATTATTTGTTATATTTCGCTGTACGTCCACTGGATGGGCTTGTCGTATTTTGGTTTGTCCAATTCCAAGAAAGAAGCTTGATAATATCTATGGTTAGACAGAAAAGGATAGAATGATAACAACCACGCCAATCCACTAGTCGGACGCTTGCTCGTCTATTGGAATTTGATTAGTATGATGATCCAGTCAGCAGCCACTTCAATTTGACCTCAAAATGTTGAAATGACATATTAAGATTTAATTATTTCATAAATTTTAAATGTCTTCTGCATATGACCATTCTACTTGCCTTTAAAGTTTGTCACTCACTACACAACTGACAGAAATTGAGGAATCAAATGCATGCTGTTTTTGAGGCATACTGTTGGCAATATGACAACTGTGGATATGAAATTCTTGTAAACTGTCACAAATTAGTTCATAAATCTGGTGCCACTTAGGGGCCGTTCAAGTATTACGTGAGCACTATGGGGGCGGCGGAGGGTTCTTTGCTTTGCTTATTTTGGATGACATGGGGGAAGGGGAGTCTAGATGATGATTACGTCATCGGTAGTTATTTACTTTTTTACACGAACGGCATTTTCGGGGATTCCCGCAATTAATGCATACGTTTAGTGAACAGCTCGCGGTAATTCCCCTACTGGCTTTAGAACCGAGTAGGGGAATTACCGCGCGGTGTTCACTTGTCTAAATTTCCTCTATCAGTGTAATGTTTCGTTTGGATACTATAGCGAGTAGACGTATTGTAAGCATAGTAAAGCAAGTTAACATTTGTGTACCATTGATTCCATTAGCCAAAGTTTAATGTTTTAAATAAGATGTCGTTACACATAGACAAATCCAAGTTATACCAAAAATTGTTTGAAAGTTTTAAAAAATCTCATACAAGTACGAAAGTACAAAATGTACAAAAGTTAGTTAACGAAGTGTGGCGAAATTACAAATTACAAGCAAAATCCGACAAGGAACTAGATATTATTGTAACTAAGAGAATCGAAGAAGAATTGCAAGCGGCGACTAAGAATAAATCCAATCTACTAATTTTTTTTTCTAAGGTGCCTATGAGTACTAGAAATATTAGAAATCGCCAAAAAGTTTCTCTTTACTGATTAGAAAATATTATGGCCTATCTCAAAGTATAGAGGTAATATTCATTATATTATAGATTTATTTCTTATGATTGATTCCGTCAATTGGTCACAAAGTACAGGATGTTAGTTTTATACATATATACAGAAAACTAACACCCTGTATTTTGTGACCGGAAGGAATTGCTCGTTTAAACATATTAGATTTAAAGCCATAGGGTTTTGTATTTACCATATATATTGCCATACTTTGTATGTATGTAGCTTAACAAGAGAATCTTTAGCAGAAGCCATAGAAAGTTTTTATTTTTGGGCAACCTGTAAACCTGCAGAATTAATTAAATTATACAGTCAGCTTCAAATATTAAAAAAGAGGAAGAAGATAAAATAAAACCCGGTAATGAATCACAACAGCAATGCGAAATTAATGAAAATACAGATAAACAGAGAGCAAAACCTTCTCAGGAAGCTATGAAAAATAAGATTGCTCTACTCGAAAAAAATCTGAATGCTTTGTATTCTTCCAGAGATACTAAGCCAAGTCGTGCTGAAGTTGATAAACAGATCATTAAGTTGCGCGAGGAAATAAAAATAGCTAAACAGTCTTTAAACAGGAAGGTCCAAAACGCAGTTGCCCTGAAGAAACACAGGGATGGTATGAAAAGAAAGTTAGAAGATATTTGTCATGAAAATCCAGAAATAAAAAAAATATTATCTCGGAGGGATTCAGTGGGACGTCCTAATCTTGAAAGCAATCAACATTCACTATTGAAAACAATCGCGGATATAGCTTTATTTGGGAGTGCAGCAGATGATAGAAGACGAACGGAATCAATTCGCAGCGTAAAAACTCTTGATGAACTCGCACAAGAATTACGTAAAATAGGATTTGACATCATTCGCAGTGGGACATATCTTCGTTTGATTCCCAGAAAATCTAATTCTGCAGAGGGATGAAGACATGTATCGACAGTCCCTGTTAAGCTCATTCGGGCTCAAACTGATCACCACAAGAGCCACTTAGATAGTTCGCTGAAACATCAATCCATTATTTAGAGAACATAGCATCCCTACTTGGACCAGATCAAGTATTTTTCATATCTCAAGATGATAAAGCTCGAGTCCCTATTGGCGTAACTGCGGCAAATAAGCAAGCACCTCTTCTAATGCACATGGAATATAGAATCAAATTGCCTGATCACGATTGGGTAATCGCTGAGCGTCATAAATTAATACCATCTGTTTATGCTGGTATCAAAATCACTTCCAATATGCTAGGACGACCGCAAGCCGTTGGATATTCTGGACCAACATACATCGCTATTCGAAGTGGAAAGCATAGTTCATCTGCTACTAATACTCATGCTCAGGATTTCGAGACGCTTCTCGAACTTGAAGAGTTTCAACCATTAGCTAAAACTAACTATGGACTAGTAAAACCAGTGGTAATCATGACGGTTAATGGAGGGCCAGATGAAAATCCACGTTATCAAAAAGTCATAGGGTTTGCTACACAACACTTTAAGCGACATGATCTCGATGCATTGTTTTTAGCTAATAATGCTCCTGGAAGAAGTGCGTATAACAGAGTAGAGCGCAGAATGGCTCCTCTTAGTCGGGAACTGGCTGGTTTAATGTTGCCTCATGACCATTTTGGATCTCATTTGGATGAACGTGGCGTTACAATTGATGAACATTTAGAACGATCTAATTTCGAATTTGCAGGAAATGTATTAGCTGAAGTATCGAGTTCAATTGAAATTGATGGCTATAATGTTAATGCAAAATATGTTGGGGCAGGTGAACAAGATCTTCCTGATTTTCCAGACATTAAATGGTATTCAGAACATGTGCGTGAGAGCCAATACTTACTTCAAATTGTAAAATGTAGAAATACAGAATGCTGTCGTCAAAGAAGTGCCTATTTAGATTACTAGACAATAGGTTTCTTCCACCACCTGTAAAAGTAAAACTAAACAGTTGATGACTTGGTTTAGGATGAAGGAGGGCAATTTCTTAATCTTTCAGTCAATTTAGCTCTAAGTGCTTCACTCAAAGATTTCCTGCAAATGCCCTACGATTATTTTTGTCCGACGGTAAAATTGAGGCTATCAAGTCGAACATGCAAAATGTGTGGTCTTTATGATGCTTCCGTCAAGTCACTAAATCGTCACATCGATATCCATAAAAAAGTAAACACGCACACTGATAGGAAAGTTAGACCTGTAAGTCGTCGTGCTAATGAACTGATATGCATTATTCAAAATTTAGGGCACCATGATGTTGACTGGCTCGATGAGAACCACGTAGACATCCCAAAATCCGATGAAAGCGAGCAAACTCACAACACTGAGCAGCAATCGAAGCAATCCAATGTCATCGAAAACTTAGAATCATGGATTCGGGTTTGATGAACTGAAGACTGTTAATTCGAATTTAATATATGTACCAAAAATTTAAAATAAGTTTGTTATGTTAGTACTGTATCAGTAAAATATAATCTCTATCTTAAATCTATTTCCTTATTTTTCAAATTATAATTATAACGTTATAATTATAATATTAAAAAAAACAATACATTAATTGACAAATGTTTACGTAAGCATGGGGGGAGGGGGTAAGAGCTTTGATTACTTTTGCTGACGAGGGGGATGGGGGGGTAAATAATTGTAATAAATCTACTTACGTAATACTTGAATGGCCCCTTTCCAGCAAGTATAGGACTTCAAATATTCAAGATTTTACCAATAATATAACATTTGTCTAAGTAGTGCTAGTGTCCCAGTTACTGGCATATTCACCATATTTGTAGAAAACTATTTTCTCTTCTATAGGAATGTTTTAACCATGTATTTAAGGTTTTCATTTAATGTAGTATGCAAATTGTTTGTTTCTTTTATACTCTGGTTGTTTATGTGTATGATTACATTCTAATACTACTTCATAGTCAAATAGAAATAAAACTTATTCTATTCTAATGTCTGTATTTCTTATCATTGTTCCATTGAGTCACTGATAAGAACTGGAGAGATTTTTTTGAAGAAGTGTGGTCCCATTCCAGTTCAAACATGATCTGCTGAACATGAAAGACATATTTCTATTAATCATAATCATGCAAATTTATGCTAACAATACAATAAAACCAAATAATAATAGATGCAAATATTTATTTGCAGTTCATACATAAATTAAAATAATATAAGGATAACATGCACAACAAAAAAGTCCTAACAAAAATCTACTACACATAACACATACAGATACCTGAATTTCTTCAGGCTTGTAGTTTTTAGGCTCCAGATCTCTAATGTCGTCGTCAAGCAAGTACTCAATTTCGTCTGCAGTGTAGAGTAAGTCGGATACTGAATGTATGTACCTGCTTGGCTCAGACTGCATGTCACAACACAACTAAAATCTAGCCGACGCCTCCCTCCAATCCATTTTTCATTCAATCCTATTTCAGCACCCAACAAACTATAACACAACTTCGCCAGTTTTTTTACCTGAGAAAAAATGTCAAAAATCAATCACTCTAGCACAAATTACAAGAAGTACTATTTATGCTGTTGAAGCATGGCCAGTTGTATTTCATTTATGTGCTATTGATGTCCATGGAGGGAATTTTCCTAAAAAGTTATTGGCACTGGAGGTGTGCATTGGAATATAACAGTAGCTTACTGAGATTATTACAGTGGTACTTATGCCTCAAAACAGTTTAAAGCATTTTTCAACTTAACTGCAACTGTTAGTTAGGCAGATGTTCAGCATTTATGAAGAATATGGTTCGGAGTGCGAATCATTTTAACTAGTGTTTATACATGACATGCAACTAACCAGACATGTGTTAAAAAGTTTATTGCATTCGTATAAACATAGAACCCATTTACCTTAATAGCTATCTATGGTGAAAACTTGAATAACTACAAAACTAAAAAAGTATTGGTACATTAGATAGAAATACAGAAAAAGTGTCCATGTAGGTTACAATATGTGAAATACCACTATTAAACAACTAAATTTTAAATACAAATGAATAAGGCTCAAAATGTACAATATCCAATAATCTTGTTACTGTAAAACAATCTGAGAATTAAAATAATTTAGGAAGTAAAACAAACCCAATAAACGTTTAAATATTGTGCCCATTTAAAATAGAACATAAGAATCCACAAATATTGAGATCTGCCATACATATATTTCAAGTAACCAGGCTCACACTCGATAAATAAATCTATAAGGAAAAGGGACAAGGGCAACACCTTAATGTATAGAAAGTAGTGTTCTTAAAAAATTTATCCCAGTTTCACTTGACCCAAAAATGAGGGAAAGCTGTGGTAAGCACAAACTGCGGCAAAAAAAGTGGCGCATAGTAACAAAAATAAAAAAAACCGACTTACCTTACCTTCCTGTATATCGTCGGAATATCTCCTCTGGAGAATATTCTTATATTTACATTTCATCTATAAGATCTTAATCCTGACGCCAAAAACATAACGCCATGTTTACGAATCCGACAGAACAATTATTCAAATGGGCGAGAGGGACGCATGGACTTCAAATAGGGGTTGAAAATAAGGGATGGCCGAAAAGAATGCATGTCAGTTATCTGTTCTTAAAGTTTCGTAGTGTCGTCTCCCACGTGTTATATAGAGCAATAGTTATGAATCAATTAGCTGAGTCTTAAAGAAATAATTTACCAAATGGGCTTGAACTTTTAAAAAAAAATAATTGATTACCAATTTTCAGAAAACATTTGTCAATCACAACTGTCAATCAATGTCGGGGTCGGGATTGTTCAAGGGAACAAATCAAACACAAAACACCAACCACCAACTATGCACGGTGTAAAAATATTACATTTCTTGTGTTTTGTGGTGATATTGTAGGTTCTGTGGCGGTGTGTCAAGCATAGACCAATAATCAGTTGTATATGTTTTATGATAAGAAATATAGGTTAAGTTTACATCCAAGAATTTGAGATTAAACATTTTACATAATAAATGTCGGAAAAAGATTATGCACCATTAAGTTCAGCATGTGTTCGTGCACTCAACGACAAATTATACGAAAAAAGGAAAACCGCCGCCTTGGAAATAGAAAAGTATTAAATTTCATTTTCTAGTCTCTAGTGTATACACATTCAATATTGTAAATTTTCAGGATGGTTAAAGAATTCGCTGCTGTAAATAATACTGGACAAATTAAGAGACTCCTGAAGGTATTAGGACAGGATTTTGCCTTATCTCAGAATCCCCATGCTAGAAAAGGAGGACTCATTGGTTTAGCTGCTATAGCAATTGCTCTAGGAAAGGTATAGCTTTGCTTAAGTTAGGATCCTGAGCTGGTTTCCAGTGACCCGATTGAGTTACTCTGAGTGACTTGATAGTGTTTAGTACCAATATTGTTCACTGCAATTTGTATTCCCATACACACTTTCTAGAGCAGTTTGGGAGCATATCACTCTCAAACTAAAAACCACTGGAAAGCTGCTCTGATAGCTTCATATTAATTTTTTCCAGGACACAGGTTTATACACAGATGAGCTTATCAAACCTATACTAGGTTGTATGGCAGATCAAGACCTACGCGTAAGGTATTATGCTTGTGAGTCACTTTATAATGTTGTAAAGGTCTCAAGAGGAGCTGTGCTGCCACATTTTGCTGCTATATTCAATTCATTGAGTAAAATTGCTACAGACCCTGATCAACATGTTAAGAATGCATCTGAATTATTGGACAGACTATTGAAGGTAATTACTTGTTGCAAATTATATGATTTTTAATAAGTATTTGTATCCCATCAGATAAATGTTTTTGTGGGCAACATTCAACATTATTATTTATAGGTATGGGAAGAATAAGAATAAACAAAGTTTAAAATAGCAATCATATAAAAGTGCTAGCTCTTTCGGGGGGAAGAGAAGAAAAATTTATTCTTCTACTGGATTCTATTTCACATAAATGACAGCATATTTGAACTATGGCAAAGAAAGTGATTCGTCACATTTGATATATGCAAATGATACATGTCTCTGCCGTTCCTTTTGGGTCACTTCTCCTCAATAAGTGTGCACATTTATTGTTCAAGTATATTTGCATTTTCATGGATGAACAAATTTACATGATCATTTATTTAACCCTTTGCAGCCACATTTGTCTTTTTATTATGATTTTATTCATTTTAAAGTATTGGAATCTCAAATTAGTAGCAGCGCATGTAAAACTCCCCTTCAAATATCATACAGTAGGTTACCACCAGTAATACAAAGCTGGACATCATAGGTAGTAAAAATGGCAGCACTGGTTTGATGATGTGAGCCTTATGAAAAGATTCAACCTGAAACTTGACTCCCTATGACCTGATTTGCCACTTTAGTCAAATCAGACACTTCTCGGATCAGTAACACCATTAATTAACATATCCCCTCCATATTGCAAGTTAAACATTTCCATGAAGTGTATGTGACTGTACCTGATGTTGGCACCAGCTGAGCTATCATTTTATTGTTGATAAAAAGCCTAAATCATAGGCAACCAGTAATTAAGGTAATGTCAGTATACCATCAGACGCCAAGTAAATTGACTATAAATCAGTAGTCATCCCAGAAGACCAGTATGCTGCAAAGGGTTACCATTAAACATATTTGTTGAGATGATCAAATTTTTAAATTATATTCCAATTCTTAAACCTTGGTATAACATAAAATTCATATCAACACTGACAAAGTCATACATTGTTGTTTTCATCCATAATAGGCTAGTTAACACTTTTTTAAGTAGGTCTTAAATAGTTCTTGAGTCAGTCGGAAACGCTACCCGCCATGTTTGGCCGATATTAATGTGTTCTGACGTGATACCATTTGTAAACAGCTGCTGATTGCAGCAAAACCTCACAAACTTTTTAAACATATAAACATAACTACTAGGTTACTAAAGGCCCCAGGAAAGCTGTGGATTAGAGTGCCCAAGGAAATAAATGTATGCAACACTATATATTGCTTGGAGCATACTTTATGTTCTGGGCATATTTTACATTTTACTCTGCAAATTTTGTCGACTCGTTTAGGTTGGATTAACCTATGGCATCATCACCATAGGATTCCCTTGCAGATCTTTGAAAAAAAATACAGTATTAGATAAAATTATTATGAGGTTATGATGCATGGGCTCAGTTTTGAATCACCTTTAAAAAAAACTATGTAATTGTATTACTTGTTCTTTTTTTTATGTTACCATTACATCAGATGCACTGTACTTACATAGAAGTCTTGATGTTACCCAGGTCAGTACAGCAGAAATCTGGCTGGAAGGCAAAAAATTACCAACCGTCAATGTGCCAATTCTCGGCAAATTTGTGCTTTCTGCTTTTACGAATACTGCGTTCATGGTTCATGAAAAAAAAAAAATAGAAAAAGATAACATTTTTAAGTTGATTGGGAGTTTTTCATCACCGTTCTCCATTAATCGGACAAAACAAAAACTCGTGTCGAATACAACAAAACTAACTTTTTGAAGACTGGTGTATTTTGCTACATTTGGAGTTTTGTTTTTCTGGTCCCGCTCGGAAGCGGTCCCATCAAAACGTTACGACGTGTTTTGAAACTCCAGACAGTTCAGAGGAATGATCAATATATATATATATATATATATATATATGGTATGGTTAAAGTGTTTTCTGGGCTAGTTTATAGAAACATAGTTACACACATGGTTTATTACAAATACCGTACATACAATAATATTCTATTACTTTTTTTCAATAACTGCAGTATCAACGTGCCACAACTAAGAATAAAAAAAACTTCTCTAATCATGTTGGTTAGTTATTGAAGAAAAACTGTGCTTTGATTTCCTTGCGGGAACCAGTGGAAAAGAAAAACAAAGGGTAGCCTGCTGGTGAAAACAAGAGTCTTGGATTTGCTTCAGTATTGTTTTTGTTTTTCTGGTTCTAGAAAACACAAACACAACATTAACATATTTAGGAAAGACGACAGTCCTAAACTGACATACGGATGGGGTTTCTTTGTTTACAATTTGTATGACGTCACATTATGGCCGATAGTTTTTTTCACCATTTCATATGAAAAATGAAAATATACCTTTTTTTAAAATGGACCTATATATATATATATATATAAAGAGAAAATAATCATGCGGAGAAATGTATATAACAAAAAATAGGAAAGTAATGGGCAAAATCCGCAAAAAGGAGGAAAGTGGATTCGAGCAGAAAATAGGATAGGTAACCCGAGCGATACGTATTTCTGCTGGTTGGCTTCATCAGGCCCGAAATGAATGCACATATGCAACTACAAAAGTAGATACACATGCTCATACATCCGGATACGGGTGTAACCTGAGGAAATAAAGATGGATGGGAAAAAATCACACACAAGTACCACAGCAAGTGGCTATAACCGGCCGCGTGGTTGTGGTTAGATGTCGCCTTGAAAATTCGAGGTCTTCTAGCTATTTTACACTACAATGTGTAGGTTGGCTCTTGTTGTGGACTTCGTGTGTGATTTTTTCCCATCCATTTTTATTTCCTCAGGTTACACCCGTATCCGGATGTATGAGCATGTGTATCTACTTTTGTAGTTGCATATGTGCATTCATTTCGGGCCTGATGAAGCCAACCAGCAGAAATACGTATCGCTCGGGTTACCTATCCTATTTTCTGCTCGAATCCACTTTCCTCCTTTTTGCGGATTTTCCCCATTACTTTCCTATTTATATATATAATGTGTTTGGTCATGACAACCGATATTTGAGGGGGGTATTTTTCAGCTATTTTTATCGACAAATCCACCCCCCTACAGTGTCCTACCTTACCTCTTTTGAAATGGCATCCATTTTTATTTTTACGTTACGATTACGCTAGTGCATGTATGAAAATTGTAATAACTGAGTACATAAGTCTCACAGAACGATAAATTTGGTGTCAATTGAACAATAGCATGTTGTTCTAGCGATTGTTGAAAAACCTGTATTGATATTATCCGTCAAACATACTTAAAAACAGACAAAACCTGAAAAAAATAAGCAAAAAATTGATTATTTTGTGCATTTCCGCACACCATTCAAAAACTAGTTTGTGAAGTTGTACTTTTTTGTGCTAATTCTACAGCTAACTATGTTATCTACAAAATGACACCAAATTTGTTATCCTAAGTCTTATACGTTTAAGTAATAAATGCTATCTAACATGGCTCAAAGTATTCATAAAAATGACAAATCAAAGTTTCTTATAAATAGTTCAATGTCACCAAAAATTCTATGGACGGACGAAGCAAAACTTACGAGGCAGGGGATCATAAATCATAGAAACGACCACTTGTGATCTTCGGAAACCGCTCACGCAATTCGACTGAGCACTTTCCAACAGGAATTTGATGTAAACATGTGGGCCCGAATGATCGACGGAGTTTTAGTCGGTGCAGTTGAGCTACCTCCAAGGTTAGATGGCCAGGGATTTTTGGACTTCTTTAGTACCGAGTTTTCAGATCTACGCAACTTATCAACCGCCGCAACATGGTTGAAGATCGCTCACGCTTTTGCGCTAGAACATTTGGATAGCCAACATTCTCCATGGATAGGACGTGGAGGCACTGTCGCTTGACCACCCCGATCACCTGATTTAACGCCCCTAGATTATTTTTTCTGGGACACAATGAAGCAAAAAGCCTACTGTCATGTGTCGACGACATGGGAAGATCTCGTGGAAATGCGAACGAAATTAGAGCTGACACGGATATGACCCGCTGCTCAACACGACACATTGTTTTAAGAACTACAATCTGCATAACCAATATTGGAGGGCACTTTGAACAGCTTCTGTAACATTAAACATGTCCAAACTATTTATAAGAAACTTTGATTTGTCATTTTTAAATATACTTTGACCCATGTTAGATAGCATTTATTACTTAACGTAGAAGAAATTTGGTGTCATTTTGTAGATAACATAGTTAGCTGTAGAATTAGCACAAAAAAAGTACAACTTCACAAACTAGTTTTTGAATGGTGTGCGGAAATGCACAAAATAATCAATTTTCTTGCATATTTTTTTCTGTTTTTGTTTGTTTGTAAGTACGAGCGCCTTCCCAATTCAGTTGGCCCACTTCAAGATTTGTACCAAAATATGCCTTTATAAACTAAACATGACGAAACTATTTACTTCTAAAATAATTTATTTTCTCAAAAACATTTTAAATACACTCTAGTCGTAAAAAATACATGTTTGAAATCACTTAGACCTATAACTAATAGAACATCTGAACAAATAAACAATGTGCGAATAAATACGCGAAGTTAACAAAGCAACAATTGAAAGATTACCATTGGGTAACATCACCTTTATTTTTTATTACGGCTGAAATTCTTTGGGGCATAGTGTTAACCAAGTTTTGGCAAAAATTTGGTGTAAAACAATCCCATATTTCTTGAAGCTTTTGTCTCAGTTCGGTGATTGTACGAGCAGGATCTTGTCGTAGAACCTTTTGCATCTCGTGCCACAAAGTTTCAATAGGTGACAGATCTGGACTGCTAGAAACCCATTTCAAAAATGGTACATTATTTTCTTCCATCCATTTTATAGCCTTTTTTGAGGTATGGCACGCTGCACCATCTTGCTGAAACACAAAATCTTGGCCGTATGTCAAACATTCTTCCATCACTGGTAAAAGCGATTCTTCAAAAATTGCCAAATATTTGTTTGTATCCATATTTCCATCAATAAAATGAAGTTTTCCTAATCCTTTTGATGACATACTGTCCCAGACCATAATGGATGCTGGAAATTTCACTTTTCTCTTCAGACAGTCGACATGGAATGCTTCATTTTTTGCGAATAACCCTACTGCGACTGTCACCAACACAAACTTCGATTCGGGCCTCATCACTCCATTGTATTGCACACCATTGTTGAGGTGTCCATTTTCTATGTTCGTTAGCCCAACTAAGTCGATTTTTCTTTTGCATTGGAGTTAATAGTGGCTTTTCTTTGGCCTATAAACAAGTTGTGCAACTTTAGAGTTTTTACTTCTCTTTTTTTTTTATAAGAAAACTTACCTTGCAAGTGCTAAATCCCAGTTTGTGGGCCTCTCTATGAGTTGTGGACCTCGAAATTCTCCTTCCAACAGCGTCACTCCACAGAGCACTTAATTGTAAATAATTGGTACGCCTGTTTTTCACGATTATTCCTCTAAATGCTCTTCGGTCAGCATTTGTGATGTTACTTTTTTCACATATCGTGGCTTAATATTAACTGAACCTGTTACGTTATATCTTCTGAGTTTGATTTCCCAGAATTAAAAAAATTAATTACCAGTAACCGAATTTTCTCACTAACAACCTTTCCTCTACCCATTTTGAAAACCTTAACTGCCCAAAACTATTTTAAACGTATTCTGATAGCTGTGATTAATAAAAACAATTGTGATGGCTTTTATTTTTCACAGCCACCTATGCGTTAGGTATAGACTTATTTTGCATTGAAATGAAAATAGGTTGATATGCTGTAATTGCAACATGTGTTATTTTTATGCTGCAGATTTGATTAGGGAGTGATAAAGTTGGTGTTTTCTACTATATATTATCAAAATATTCATTGTTAATATTTTAAACCTATAACACCCTGCTACATTTTTATTATTTGTGTTTGATAAGAAAAAAACTAAGATTTCAATAGTTGAGCCAACTGAAGTGTGAAGGGGCTCGTACATATGTTTGACGGTTAGTATCAATACAAGTTTTTCGATAATCGCTAGAACATGTTATCGTTCAAATGACACCAAATTTATCATTCTGTGACTCTTATGTTCTCAATTCTTACAATTTTCATACACGCACTAGCGTAATCGTAACGTAAAAATAAAAATGGCTGCCATTTCAAGGGGAGTGAGGTGAGACATTGTAGGGGGGTGGATTTGTCGATAAAAATAGCTGAAAAATACCCCCCTTAAATATCGGTATGTCGTGACCAAGCACATTGTATATATATATATATATATATATATACAGGGTGTAAAGTTAGTGTGGATCAACGGAAGTCATGTGATAGAGGGCCTCAAAGCCTATCGAATGAGCCCCTTATATGTGTGGTCCGAAATTGTATAGTTCAGGAGAGATTTGCAATTCTGTGAAATTTCGAAAAAAAAACAGGATAATGACTTTCAGTCGCAATTACAACTAAACCATTAGGCTTAGGGTTGTGATTTTTTCTGAGATGAGCTAAATGGTTAGTTTTAGCAATGGTTTTCTCACTTTTTAACAGAGCTTATTAGAAATCACGCGAAAAGCCTTAAATTCATTTTTTTGTGAAAAATCTCTTCCATTCCTCAACTTTGGAGTGCGGTAAAAAAATTGAGGTTGTATTTCATTATTTTATTGTAAAAACTATTTCAATCCATGTAGAATAAACCCTGAAAATTTCAACATGCCTCACCTTAAAAAATCTGTATGTTAGATGCAGGTGGATTTTTTTATGCAAATAGCCAAATCAGCTTAATGAGCTTGGGCATTCAACTCATCATTCCAGGTGCGGGAGCGTTCAATCTTCGGTCCGACCGAAATTACTAAGACAGGCAATGGTCCAGCGCGGAACTTGTATCTAACGTTTGGCATCTGAGTAGAATCATGTCATATTCTCCGCGAGATTATGCAGAAATGCATGACTATTATGGTGCTGCCCTAGGAAATGCTCGAGCAGCTGCTCGTATGTGGTTAGAAGAGGTGGACCACAACCGGTGGTACATGCGCTGCTAGAGGATGTACCTTTGAACGTCCGAAGCCGCATGTATTTTCAATGCGATGGTGCCCCATGCCACTTTGCACGGGATGTACGGCATTACTTAGACAGTGCGTTTCCCGGTCGTTGGATAGTTAGAGGTGGACACATACGATGGCCTCCAGGGTCACCCGATTTAAATCCTCTAGATTTTTTGTATAGGGGTTTTATAAGGGGATAATCTATACATCTTAATATACAAATGTCAACCAACTGCGTTAGAAATTTGATAAAGTAAAAATAAAAATTATGGAAAACGCAAATTCATTTCAAAGACTAAAGGACAATTTTATTAGACGGTGTCCTTGTGTATAGAAAATAATGGAGGTCATTTCGAAACATGCTTTTAAAAGTTAAATTAAATGATCTTCCACATTTGTCGGTAAATCGCCATAAAGAGCGGCTAAACAAAATAGGTTCTGTACTTGTAGGTGGTCAGGATTCTATTGCATTTCTTACGTTTATCGCATAACAACAACGAATGTGACATGATACACTCTTCGTAGCAAGCTGAAATTTTCAGGCTTTATTCTACATGGATTGAAATAGTTTTTTATAATAAAATGAATAAGTATATACTACCTCATTTTTTTACCGCTCTCCAAAGTTGAATGATGGAAGAGATTTTTCACAAAAAAATGAATTTAACATTTTTTGCGTTGATCCAGTTCTGTTAAAAAGTGACATAACCATTGCTAAGACTAACCCTTTATCTCATCTCAGAAAAAAAATCACAGCCTTAAACCTGAAACCTAATGGTTTAGTTGTAATTGCGATTGAAAGTTCATTATCCCGTTTTTTTTTTCGATATTTCACATAATTGCAAATATCTCCTGAACTATAAAATTTCGGACCACACATATAGGGGTTCATTCGACAGGTTTTGAGGCCCTCTATCACCTGACTTCCGTTGATCCACTACTAACTTTACACCCTGTGTATAATCCTATATATTTTGCACATTTAAAAATTGAAATCGATATACACACATATATATACAGGGTGAGTTTGAAGTTGAGTAATTAATTTTCAGATAATGATTGTAGAAGGAAGATGAACCAAAATATGTGTGTAAAAATAAAAAAAAAATGTTACCTTGTTTTATAAAGTATCCTCCCGACAAGTATTTCAGTGCGGACCTGTATTTGATCGTGCGGTCTTGGAGCACCGGCGTACCCTCCCCTGTGAGGTGTCTTAAGTCACCTGATTCACGAGCCCTTTGTACTACATTAACAAAGGCACGAGGGGTTGGTTGCACTCGATTGGGAAACCGATCCGCATAAATCCGTGATGCCGCGTAAATAAGAATCATGTCCACAAGTTCAGCTTTTTCGTAAACATGTGCCATTTTTGATTTCGTTTGAGCCACGCAACAGACACCACTATTCACTCACGCGTTACCGACTGACACTGACTGTATACAACTGAATAAAATAATTGTAAAAACATCGTTCCAAATTCTTTCGCTTTTTTGTTTCCGATGCGATGAACCGATAAGGCGGATTATATCCGTTGTTTCCAAACACGAGCACATAATATTATTATTGAGACAGGGCGTTACTCAAACTTCCAAAGGGCTATAACAATGTTACTTTAATTTTACCAGAAAAATGATAAAGGAAAAAACATTTCTTTTGATCAGATCTACTCACTGTTAAAATAAATGACTCAACTTCGAAGTCACCCTGTATATATATACAGGATGCGTCAGAGAGGATGGACGGTTTTAAAAAAATCATAAAATAGTTAATTTTTACTCGAAAACAAATTTATTGATGGAATCAGGTTCACAAGGAAATAGCATTTGAGACAGTCAAGTGTGGAAAATCACATCAGGCATGTGGTGGCCGAAATCGTTGATGCAGTGCTGGCAGCGTTCTTGGAAGTTCGCTTTCGTAACTGTTGCACAATGGCCAATTTGTAGGGGTGAAAGTAGTGATCCATATGCAAAATTCGCCTTACCGAACGATCACTAAGGCGAAGTGCAGCAGCATGTTTCCGGGCAGATCGAGTCGGACTGCGAAGAAAGACCTGTCGAACGCGTTCAACATTTTCAGGAGTTCGAACTGTTCGCGGCGCTCCTCTTGGTCTTCTGTTGATCAATTCACCACGCCTGCGAAGTGATTCAACCCAACGAAGGATGGTGTTTCGAGAGGGAACAGCTCTATTCCGATGAATGTTGAAGTGGCGACGAAACTCACTCTGTACGACGATGACTGACTCATTATTTCGGACGAAACAATCATAGGCGAAAACGCGGTGCTCCACCGTCCAAGGCTCCATAACGACAACTGGTAAAATAATGCTAGGATCTCACGAGTCAAACGGCACCCTCCCCACTTCTCTCATAGACGGAGGCGGAGAGTACTACCCATCCCAAAACGTCCATCCTCTCTGCCGCACCCTGTATATATATATATATAAAGTTAACAAACCTTTTTTTTCTAAGTTTAAAGTTTTTTGTTTATTTTAAAGACATTTATATACGTATGCGTGTTTAATGTCCCAGTTTCTTTAACATATTCATTTTTCATTAAAAACACCATTTTAGTTATATTTTAAACGGACACGATCCAAAGGAGATTTCACTATATTTTCTTTTCCTATATTGTAATAGGCTTTAAATCTAACTGCAGCTGAAAAACTGTTTCTCTTTTGACTCAACTAAAAATTATAATGGACTTTTTTCAGGATATTGTTGTAGAAAGTACAACATTTGACTTAGATGGTTTCATACCATTGCTGAGAGAAAAAATATATACCAAAAGCCCATTTGCCAGACAGTTTGTCATATCATGGATATCCATATTGAATACTGAGCCACGCTTAGATCTTATAGGTTATTTACCTGAGCTTTTAGATGGCTTGTTCAGAATCTTAGATGACACTAATCTTGAGGTTAAAAAAATATGTGAAACAATCCTAGGAGAATTCCTTAGGGGCATCAAAAGTGATCCATCTAAAGTTAATTTTGGAGCTATGATAAACATATTGATCAACCATGCCCAAGAGAAAAGCGATGACTTGGTTCAGGTAGGCTTTGCAAGTTGAAAACTATTATTTTCATTTTCCCAAAAGTTTTATTACCCTTTTTTTTACTCATTCTTGTCATTTAACCTTCAACTTTTATATAGTCCCATTTTGCGCTATGTTGTCATAATAATAATGTCAATATTGTTAGATCAAAGTGTTAAAAAAATCATTTCCGACCAATGCATTTTTTCAACTTTTAGTTCACAGCAATTACTTGGATCAAAGAGTTCGTACAGTTGTCAGGTCCAGCAATGTTGCCGCATGTATCTGGAATATTCACCGCAGTCTTGCCGTGCCTAGCATATGATACAGACGCTCGGAGAAGTATCCTTATTTTTATTACTAATATAATTTTACGTCACATTTATTTCATTTCTTCTTTGGCATATTTATTGTCATGCTTTTATGTCATGTGATTTAGAATGAGCATGTTTCTTACCAAAATTTTTGTTTGATATTAATTTCTTTTCTGCTTTAAAATATCATTCATCATTAGTACTTATTTTTATATATCAATAAATCATAAACCACATATGTTTTAATTACAGTAAACAGTAATAAATACATATGTGATTTGATTTAGCGGCCAAACAATGGAGTCCTATTCAACATGAAAACCACATGATATCAGAATATAAATCCATGTTAACGGTTTCGAAATTTTTTGGTGTTAGAAAATGCACACAAGAAATCTTAGAATTGACACTACAAAAATTATAAGGTATAAAAATAGAAGCGGGTTCACACAAAACCTGTGCTTAGAACTATGAACGATAAACTTATATTGGAGATAGGATTCACAACGAAAATAGTCTCAAAAATGTTCTATCATTAAACATGCTGATTAGAGAATGCGTAAGGCACCAAAGTTAGACAGAAATATCAATCTTTTGCATTCGTAACCCATACATCCATAATACCGGTAGGAGTATTAAGTAAAAACGTAAAAAACTACCAAATGTCATCTTGCAGACTAGGTAGTTTTTAGTGTGTAAATAGTTCATTCCACTTTACTCGCTATAATCGATGTTCGCTGTCGTTTAACAACACGTACACCTGCAAAACGAGTTCACAACAAGTTTATAACAGCTTGTGCTAAAAGTTAACATCTTGTAGAAAAACCTACGTTATGTCACAAAAAATCTACGAAATGTAATTTCAAGATACTTAATACCCGTGCAGCACAACATAATGTAGGTTTTTGTACAAGATGTTAACCTAGCACAAGCTGTAGAAAAAACTGTAGTGAACTCATTTTGTAGCTGTACGTGTTGCTTAAACGTTAGCGAACACCGATCGTAGTAAGCAAACGTAGAATAAAGTATTTGCACACTAAAAACTACCTTGTCTGCAAGATAGCATTTCGTCGTTTTTTTAACACAATTCCCATCCTCCCTATGGTGTTAAGGCTTGTATCATGCTTTGTTAATATTATTCAGATAACCATTCGCGTTTGAACTCTATCGATTTAGCACGCATGTAAAATATTCTACGCTGCTAGCTGATTAGAGAGTGGTACTGTATACATTTACGTGTGTTATACTGATAAAAAAGCAGTTAGTATTTATTAACTGTTGTCAATACACTCATGTAGCCTTACTAGCCATACAGAATGTATTTCAGTGAGTAGATGAAAACATATCTTTCAATAATTGAAATCTAATAATATATTTATATTTAAAAACGTGTCAGTCGCTCACTTCATAAATATAAAACCGTTAATGATATTATTATTGCATGCATACTTGATAATAACAACTGGGTTACTCGGTAACTAGCGAGCATCAACATACTGTTTTTGACATAAACAAACCAAATAATTTTCTACTAAGGGAAAACAAAACTTGCATCGAAAATGGCATGTGATAGATGTATATTTCAAAATATTGAGACTCTTCGAGATAAAGCAATTGTCTTAGCCTACAAAAACACGAACTGACAACAAGTAGGCCGAGAAAACAGACACATCAACGCAAATTAACGAAATATAAAAAATAATACAAAAAGCCACTTTTGCAAACACAAACGAGGTTTGTAAATTACGTGATTAGACTGAATTTTTTTATTCAGATATAACTACAATTATATATTTTACCCTCAAAATAACTCCCTTCTGAAGCGACACAGCGCTGGAGACGGTACTTCCACTCCTCATGTCAGTGCTGGAACTCCGATACTGGAATAGCCTTCAGCTGGTCGGTTACAGCAGTTTGAATATGTTCGACTATCCCACAGGAATGTTTTTACTGGTCAAACACTCGCTTATTCACATTGCTGTGTCACAAGTAGCATTATCGTGATGCAATGCTCAGTTGTTCTTCATCTGATGAACGGTGGTGTCAATCAAATTTAACTCTTCCCCGATCATTCTGACTGTCAACCCACGAAATGAACACACAAGATCCCGGATTCTGCCGATATTTTCATCGGTTGTGGAAAATGAAGGGCTTCCGCTTCGTGCTTCATCTTCCTACTCTCTTCCTTCTGAAAATGCCTTAAATTACTGAAAAACCTGGGCTCTTGACAAAAGTTTGGCAAGAGTTTCTGTTGCACTGTCCCCAAGGCTGAAGCAAAACCTGATAGCACACCGTTGCTCGAAATTGATGTCACTGATTTTTAGAACACAATAGAAAAAACTGTTTCCTAAAAGAAAGCGTTACGGCCAACCAAAATGACTCGAGCGGGTTCAAACTTACTGAAGGCGGATCACAAAAAATCCACAGAACGAGTTGTATGAGGCATATCTGCATTTCTTTGTTTATTTCTCGGAGTTATTTCGCTCTTCGTTTTATAAAGAAGAATATAGAAAACATTCTTTTTGCCTATTTTATTTATAAAACTTGAATCCATGGATCAATTTCTATGCTTCCAAAAGACACAAGTGAAAACTATTATTTGCGACTGAAGAACTTACTAAAAACTACCATTTTTCAAAAGAAAGTGTTAAAACTTAAAATATCAACAATATGAGATTTTTTTGGCTGATTTTCCACGTTACTAATAGAAGGATTACGGAGGATTATGAAATTCCACGCACAATAGTAACGCAACTGTACCTCAACTTTGCTGTAATCCCATAGAAGTACAAAATATCCATGACATGTTTGCGTTATATTAATCTACTAGCTCTCTACCTGCGGCTTTAAGTGTAAACACCACTGTAACGGACTAAAAAAAGTATTTTACTGTATTTTTATGGTGGAAGAAATGATGATAAAATAATTATTTTGAAGGAAGTTATTAGGCATATACTTGAGTAACTACAAAGAAAATTAACACACAGCATAACCCAAGCAATTGTCATGCTTTTACAATACCTGATAACATTTTAAAGAGACATACTTGGGGGATTTTCGATGAGTTAATTTAATACCTATTTATTAATTTGACTTTATGGGTCAAAAACTGAACGATTTACATGTACAATAAGCAGTATTTTTCTAGATCCAAATTCGCTGTAGCTACACTGCGCGCCGCAGAGGGCCTTACATTTTATGTGCCTCATGAAAATAGCTGTAATCCCGCAATTTTAACTATACGTATATGTTCAGTGACATCCTCCCAAGATTATTATTTTATAAACCTTTTCTTCCACAAAAAAAACAAGGTAGGAATAACTTTTTTATGCCATCAGCGGTCATTATAAGTTCAAAAATAGAGACCTGGCGACTGGCTGACAGCAGAGGCTTAGTAATAAGGTCCCAAAAGGGAACTGATTTATTTTTTTTATTTTATGAAGTATTTTATTGTGGAATATGTCACATAGTTAGCCCAATGCAAACGGGAATATCAACGAAACCAAACGCATACAACGTACGCATTCATCGATTCATCAAATAAAATATTTGTTTATGTGTATTGTAAAGTATTAGTACAAAGCTTCAAAAATGAAAAGTTTCATTTAAACTATCACTCCTCTTCCACCTCCTTGGGGGATGATTTTCAAAAAATCCCTTCTTAGTGCTAACTTACCCTTTATGAAAAGCCTCTGTGTAAAATGTCTACCTTCAAAGGTCTCTGCTCTGCATTGATATGTCAGACAGTGAATACGTAAATCAGCGTTCACTTTTATATATAGAGTAACAAATATATTAATTTGCATCTACAGTTCTGTACCCTGACTTTGATGTAACTGCATTAGCCTCCAGCGATTATCGAAAATCCTCTTAAAATTTTTGGTAAAGAACACCAAACGAGCTTTCTAATTGCAGTTTGTTTTCATTTCTATTTTTCGTTACTTCTCCACACATCTCCATTTAGCACACATCTCCATTTAGCACACATCTCCAACCAACACAACAATATTTACACAATACTGTTTGCCTTTTTTATTTTATTTTATACTTTGGCTGTTTTGCATGATTCTCACTTCTATTATTTCTTTTTCCTTAATATAGAGACAGACATTAAAGAAACTGCTACGGCTGTCAACTATACGTTGATGAAACTCATAGCCTTGCAAGAAGAGAACAGTGATGAAGATATTCGACCGTTAACAGGTTAGTATTGTAAAGCTTGCGTTACTCGTTTGTTATGCTTGCACGCTGTAAATAGATGCTTAGCTTTATTTCTGCAACCCGTGAATGAAACAATTGTGATCAAAGTTCACAAAGAATCAACTTTAAATCGTAACCTACTCATAAATTTGGGTCGAGAAATACTTACATTCTACATGTTGAGATATCTGCAACATATTGGTCAAATCTCCGTATTTTTTTCTGGAATTCAAATGAAACCACATATCTGGATTGACTGTTTAAAAACGTTTCGGCCACTTCAATGGACTTTTCCATAGTACAATTACAAAAATTTTCTTCGTCAATCCAACATGTGCGGTTTCATTTGGCATCTGGAAATTTGTCATTTGAAAACCACAGGAAAAATTTCAAATGTTACAGTAACACAAACTACCCTCACTATTCTGTAGGAACCTTTTATAGGGCGATGAATAAATACATGAAAGTAAAAAAAGTAAAAGTAAAAATATACAAAATTATAGCATATCTTCTGACATGCCAGGAAATCGAGTGCCACCCTAAAATTTAATAGTAGCTACTAGACTAAACCCGCGGCTCCGCTATCGACGAAGTAGTGTACAATGTAGGTCATTCATTTCGCGTTTGTGTGAAGGAGATTGGTTTCGGAGAAAGAAATTTAATATTCAAAGTATATGTATACTCGTAGTGCAATAATTACCTTGGTAATAAACGTTTTTTATCCAACATTTTGATGCAACAATAAATCAATTTCGGTATTTCTGTTTTTGATATATTCGACAAAAAGTAAGGAGTTTATTTGAAAATGTATCTGATCTTAAAATGACTTTGAAGGTCATGGTCATTTTTATTGGTAAAGTTATACTTGACTTAAAATTGCTCGCAATTTACATTTCAGGAATTAAAAATAGTTAAGGGACAATTGAGAGGAAAGCCTGATCGTTGCTTTTGTGGTGGAACGCATGCTGCTTGTCGTGTCTAGTACAATTTCACTCTACAGTCTAACTAATTTTTTTAGCTACAGAAGAACAAATTAATAACGAATTAGACCTTCCATCAGTTGTAGACCACTTGACGTCGTACTTAATGCATAATTCCATCCAGACTAAAGTGGCAGTCCTGAAATGGATCCACGATTTGTATACAAAACTCCCGAATAAGGTAACGGCTTGTACTGGCACCTATTTCATGTTTCGTCAATCTTGTTTTTTCTAGATGGTGAATTACATAGATGTTTTATTCCCCGCACTACAGAAAACTTTATCTGACGAATCTGACCAGGTTGTCCAGCAATGCCTTGTGGTACTGGCAGAGGTCATTTCTACACCTAAGTCATCGAAATCGGGGCATACAGGTAATATATATATATATATATATATATATATATATATATATATATATATATATATAACTGTTTAAACTGATCATAAACCTTGTTAATATTTTATGTCTAACTAGCAATCCCTGGTGCCTCTTTTATCTTTAAGTAACTATTCTCACCAAAAGCAGCTCGACGTCAACCTGATGTCGACCTGTGTTTGCCATTGTGACACTTCAGCTAACGCTCCAATAGTATCCTCAAAAAATACTTTTCCATCGCGTTTCTGTGTTTTTGAAGTGATTAATTTGCTTGAAGCAACAGTGTTAAACCCTTCCAAGAGACAGTTGGTGCAAGAAATGTGACAAATTAATAGTATACGAGTGATCATCAGACTAAAGATGTGTGTTGGAGTTTAAAGCGTTACTTTCTCCACATATCGTTATAATAATAATAATAATAATAATGTTTATTTGTAAAATACAATTAGTTTCGAATAAAACAAATAAACATAGAGTACCAGTTGAAGGCAGTTAGTTGCCTGTGCGCGGGTATTTACCGATACGAAACATTGTCATTACCTACTGATATATTTTGATATATTCTTAATTATTATTGAATATATGATTATATCACACAATTATGGCAAATTTATCATATAATATATATCCGTTTAAATGAACTGAACTTAAAATTTTATAAATCTCTACAGTTCTAAAAGTAAGTAAGTAAGTTTTTGTCGAGAAAATCTGAATAATATACATTAATTTATTATTTCATTTATCATATACGATTAATCTTGAAACCACAGTTTTATACGTTTTTTATATGTATAGTAATGAGTGTGTTGTGTCCATTCATCAGGCAGAAGATTATAGATTCAAATGACCTTTGCCCAATTTGCTTATTCATTCTTTGGGTCTGGAGTGATAGTGTTTTACACCTTGTCTCATGATTATGTTGTGGTTTCAGCAGTGTATGTTTGTATTTATAAATAAATAACAGTAAGTTCATACAATATAATTGCCTGATACTAAAAACACAGAATCCTGATATACTTTTTCGGTTGGGTTGTTAACACATAAAATAATTTTCAAAATCCATTTTTGTACAACTTCAAGTTTTTTCAATGCCGTAGGCAGTACTATATAAAAATAGGAAATGTTCGCAAATACATTATACAAACTTTTCAACATAAATATTACTTATACTTAATAATAGGAACACAAAAAAAATTGGAAAACTTAAATATATTGCATACAAGCATTAACAAATTCCCCACACTCTTTCAGTGTCATAGTCAGCAAGGCTGGATTTCACAAGGATTGTCAAATCAACAGTCTGTTATTCTCCACCTATAAGGTAACAATCCGTCAAATACAACGAATGAGCTTCGAGATCCAATCAACAGATTTTAGCAACCAATAGCTATGAAGTGTTGAAAGCAAAATACTGTCAAAGTATGAAATGACTGCTTGTCATTGAAAGATCACCAGCTTATTGAATATTAAGAAATTACATATGGTTTAGTCAAAATTTGAAAAAGTGGTCGATTTTTGAATAAAATTCATGTTTTTATCTAATATTGTCGATAATTTATTCATGTTTATATTATTTTCTTCAATTGATATGCGATTTTACTGATTCAACATCACCTTCCGTGTATTTTTTCTATAAACCTCATGCAGATAGCCATTAAGCACCTACTTAATGACAGCCTCTACCAAAAATTTCATAGATATTGCTCGTTTCGAAACATTCATTCATTTACTTGCCGTTCATCAGTACCATTATAGCACCGTCGATTGATATTCCCACAAACCTATTCAGGATTTTTGATATCCATATATCCATAAAGTCAAATATTTTTTGGTTGTTCAGGAACTGAACGAACATCCACAATATATTAACAGCGATTAAGAAATACTCAAATATATGTCGTAAAGCTACCGGCAAACTTAAAACCTGCAAAAAAATAGAATTTGCAATAACTTTCTTGTTTCACTGAGTACACATTCAAGGTTATATTTATATTGGACATTATTTTAATATCAGCCGCTTATTACAATTCAAAACTCGCCAACGAGTGACACATGTGTGGGATCCGTCAACCCTTGGTCCCGCCAACTGTTGAAATATAGTCTACTATGCTTTATAAGTCTCTATACGTGGAATTTTTTCCTAAAATCGTTGCACAACACTTGAAAAAATGCAAATGAAAATTTAAAATGATTTCCATTGCGCCGCAAAATAGCTCCGTCGGTACCTCGGGTTATACATCTTGACAGTAAGGATGTTCGATACGATAATATATTATATATATATATACCCGATATTTTGGATGGATATTTTTATATACGACACTTGTATGTATTGACATATTAAACGAGTATCGTCATCTTTCGATCCGGACTTCTGATTACTTTTCTTCTTTGTTTCCTTCCGCTGGATATCGATAATTTTATTCCAATATTTTAGATTATCGATACTTCCTGAAACGATAAGAATCGATACATATCGATACTTTTCGTGGATCTAAACATCGCTAATCTTGTCAGCTTGTCGTTCTTGTCAACTGCTCTGCAGGGTGCGGTGTTGTCTTTACTATCTTACATTTTGCTAAAATCTTGCAAATAAAAGCTTCAAATGAAATATTGACAAATATGAACGGATATATTTAGAATATAAATTCATATTGCATATTTTAGTTTGTCTATGCATGGACTTGAACCGGATTTTTCGGTATTTTTACCGAGAAGAGAATATTTACCGATAACATCATTCTCCACGATTTTTCAAAATAATTTAAATATTCCTATACTTGCCGAAAAAGAGCTGAAACCCAAAATAAAGCTGAAAGTTAATTTTATGTAGTCTTCATAGTTTTATGCCCCATATCAATCACACATATACATACACACTCAGGCAGTCGGGCACATGAGAGGCGTAGATTTGGGTTACCTATGATTACGAACGCACATCCTCATCCCTTACTCCGCTTGCCCTGAATTGATTTTTGTGCATACAAAAGGTACAGACTGGTAGATTACCGTCATTACCTCAGCACCGGACAAGGAATAAAGAAACCGAAACCTGTCTGTTTTCAAAATAAATATTTAATTAGAATAATATTCACAATCCTATAAGCAAGAATCGAAAAAGGAGTTTCCAGAATGGTTGCAAAGTACTTTGAAAGAGCGACCAGTATGCACATTGTAAAAGTTGTAATATGGAACTATGCCCTCAGAAAACATGTTGTGTTCGCGCGCAATACAATAATAAACGTTTTTGATAGACGACGCTGCGTGACTCAAAGGTGCTTGATCTACCACTGATCTTGGGACGGCATTTACCTTATACCGAATTCAACGACACTATTTACGGATTCCGTTTTTTTTTTGCCGGTTCGGCAACACTGCACATGTGCAGATCACTTCAAAGCAATTGATATCCCAGACGTGTTATAATAATAGAAATAATAAGAAAATATAACAATGTTTGGAGATACATTTTCATAAATAGGTATTTTTGATTCTGACTTATAATATCTAGACGATGAATAATAGGTGGATGCGGATACTCTTACAAATATCGATGTTTTAGGACCCAGAAATGCAGAATGTGCTGTTTGTTTACATTTGGTGTGGATTTCTAGATCATAAATTGGCAAAAATTGTTTTTGATCTAGAAAAGATGATGAACCAGTTGGAATACGTTTTATATCCTTTTTTTGCAAAATAAATATCCGTACATTTCTACAGGTACGTATTATGTACAACACCCTGTACGTGATATACAGACAAAACTAGATTGCCGTGCATAAACAGTCGTCAAAAACAGTGAAAACATCGTACTATATATAAAAGCTAGATAATCGACCTATTATTTCTCTCATTTTCATTGGTCAATTTAAATAACTCACCGTCTTTTGTGAAATGATAAAAATTTGAAATTCTATGAAAGTTATCCTAATTCTAAAGCTCAAAGATATAATATTACATCTATAATGTATCCTTATTCATAAGGCAACCGTTTTTTCACGACTTTATTCAACATTTCAATAGGAATCACTGATATTCAGAGAGCTTTGGCAGCTTCCGTCAAATTGCATAGGTCTTTCCTATTGGTCCAACCGACCGTCAAATATTAATGTTGGTGAAATTGGCCCTAAGTCATCAATCTGATATCTGATCAGTCACGTCATCACTGAAGGAATTAAGCTCTTTAAAAATTGATACCAACTTAGCAGCTTTGACATTGCGTAGCCGATTACGTAGTTTGGAATTGGCTAAACCGTATGATGAGAAGAGTCTTTCTATGTTGGCTGACGATGCAATAGCTGTATGAAGCTGTTGAGCAAGTTCCATGGCTGTGGTATCTATATTTCTCATAGAACGCCACCATGCGAATGGTTTTACATTCTCAATTAGATGTTTAGAAAACATATATGTCTTAAAGGGTACACACTTTGCCTGGTAACTAATAATAATTGGCAATGCTTCTGGATGATAGGTTTCTACATATTCCATGCCAGTTTCTATTTGCTCTTGACTAAGTTTATTGCCCTAAAGCGATGATCAAGCAAATTTGTCAAAAAAAGAGCTGGTGTCAACGCCATTTTCATACGCTCCTCGACTTTATTCGTATCACTTACCGAAAATTCTCCATTTGCTTGTTCAGTCTCGAATGCCTCTAAAAATTCTAGCCATATCTCTGTAGCCTCTCCTATAGTGCAAGTGTTTCTTTGGACTTTGTCCAAAGCAAATGCGACATACTTTAATTTTTTTAAATAGTCTTGGACATTTGTCTTTAATTTGTTAAACATTTAAAATTCAAAGTTACCTGTATTATTATCTGGGTAAACATTCTTTGAATATTTTTGAGTTTTGGATACCTCATCCAGCGTTAAATCCTCATCTGACTCGGAATCATAGATAATTGACATTGGTAGCTAAGAATTTTCAGACGGAAGACATTTTTGAATATGTTTCTTCATACGCAGCACTAGTCCAGCCATAATTACTTTACATTTTTTT